TTGACAAGAATCGATTAGACTCTCAAGAGGTGGGCTAAATTTTGACATAAACTTTTGATCGTGTAAAAATACTCCAAATAACAATCCGAAATAGTTCTTCTCATTAAACTCACACGCGAAAACGAAATGTGCCTCGTAAGGAATACGTAGTCTATTTTCAAATTCAGTGCTGCATTTATCAATACTGCTGTGCTAAGGAAGAACGCCGTATGAACATTCGAGAGTTGCCAAATTTCCTTCGATCAAACGTTCATTTTTTAAGAAAGTAATGCATATTTTTCTTCTAGTTTTTCAGGACCTTTAGGTGAAATTGCGAACAAAATTATCTGAGAAATTGGGAGGAAAATATTCATAAGTTTACCAGGAAATTCGCCTTTTATCGAAGGAAATTTGGCAATGCCTGAAGGTTCATACGGCGTTTTTCCTTAGCACGGCAGAATGCCGTATAGACGTAATGATTGAGCCCCTCGCGGAGGTAAAAAAATTACCTCTCAGCCAGAATAATTTTACGTCATTTTCAAACCACTGAAAAAAGTGAACACCAATAATGTCAAAGCTACAGGGTTATTCAAAAGTCACGCACCACTGGCCATAAGGTGGGTGGCCATTTGAAATTTTTGAGTTGCCCCTCGCCCCCCTCCCCCCGAGGAGATCAAAAACTGGAAAGTGCCTAAACAAGTTTCCCCCTCGATATGAAGAAAAACGTCTGAAACCGCAAATCGATATCATAATTAGAACTAAAGTTATGGCCAGTGGTGCGTGACTTTTGAATAACCCAGTATATACTCTTGGTACGAGCCATGTCAGTCGGGAAAATCAACGCAAGCAGGAAATGTTGTGATTTATTCGTGGTCCTCGGCATTGGTGCGGATTCTGCTCAAGCATCGCTGAAACATTTTCCGATCAAAGAGGGCCCTTTTTTTAGACAAACGTATGTGTGTGTGAGTGTGTGTGTGTGTGTGTGTGTGTGTGTCACGTCCTTCCACGAAGCCTCGGGGGAACCTGGCATTGCAGCGCGTAGCAAGCCCGAAAAGCTTAGTAAGTACGTTATTAGACAATGAAGCTCAGTTAACTTCAATTTAGTATTTAGTGCTCGCCTTTCCAATATTCATGCTGCCGTGCTAAGAAAAAACGCCGTGTGAACCTTCAGGCGTTGCCAAATCTTCTTTGAAAAACCACAAATTCCCCGGTAAACTTATGAATATTTTTCTTCCAACTTTGTAGAGAATTTTGATCTAAAGTTCCTGAAAATTTCAAGGTAAAATATTCATAATTTTTCTCAAAAATAAACGTTCCATTAAAGGAAATTTGGCAACTCTCAAATGTTCATACGGCGCTCTTCCTTAGCACGGCAGCATGGTGGACCACGTATCTCCGATTTAATTTAATTTTATTTTTAATTTAATTTAAGGACAAATTTAATTTCTTGGAGGCTTCCTTGAGTTTTCCCCTGTTAGCAGACAATTTTATATGCATTCCTTAATGCATTCCTTATATGCATTAACTTAAAAGTTGCGAAAAAATCAAATAGGAGCCGACATTTTTAAACGTCGCAATAAATGTACGTGGTTTCGTACTTGGGCTGCCGATATCCTATGGCGTTAATATGAAACAGTGTTAACCTCTCCACGATGAAACTGCATAAACGTATATAATATCTTGGTTTGCGTTATTTTTTATTTTGGAAAATACGCAACGTCATTCCTTGAAAAACTTCCCTCATTTTTCTTCTCTATCTATGTGAAGATTATTCTGTGAAAGTTTCGAAGAAAAGTGTTGGTTTGCTCTCCTTTGATGAAATGAAAAGAGAGTGAAGATTTTGAAATATCGCAAACGGGGCACGCGTTTTACCAGGGTTGCCAGTCAGGGAAATGTCAGGGAATTTTAAAAAGTCAGGGAAAATAACGAAAATGTCAGGAAAAATTTACTAAATCACCTTCATTTGCTTTCTAGAATGGGTTTGAGATTTTGAACAAGAAATTTTGCCTGAAAACTATTTTCAATTATGCCTTCTTAACCACCCGTTAATCTTCAACTGTCAGGGAATTCCACCTAAATGTGTCATAGAAATGTCAGGGAATTTCATTTTCTAAATTCTGTGGCAACCCTGTTTTACCCGTTTCACCGTCCCTTTTCTTCTTAAACTGAATGGAAAATTTACCCCAGTAACTTCAGTTTTCGTGATTTTCCTGAACGATTTAACATTTAAAAATGTTCGACTAATCGTAAGCGCCTGCAACAATTTTCAGTTCAGTCTTTACAAGGTTGCCTTCCAAGTTTTTGACCATTCAGAGCCTCCCGTGGGGGAAAGGGAGACTAACATTTTTTGAATTGAGTAATTGCTGCTCTCAACTAGAAGCATCGTTAATCTGCGAGTCCGGATGAGTCAAAAATAACGATTCTAATTGACCGTTGTTTCAAGCACAAGAACAGTTTGAGCATGATTGATAAGATAAGTTACAAATTAGCTTGACTTTTCAATCAAAACACTTTAACCAACACTATCTCAAAGACATGGATATTGGCCTGAAGCAAGTCCAATTCAAGTGTTTGTCTTATGGTTTTTTCAACTTAACTTCGGAATACATTTGCCAGTTTTAGATGAGGTCTCTTACCGGAAATATTCTCATGTGCAGGGTTGCCGGCGTTCTAGGAAACCGGAAAAATCAGGGATTTTTTCACAATCGCCAGAAGTCGAGGGATTCGTCGGAAAAATCAGGGAATTTCTTACATATCTACCAATCACCAGAATATACTGCTCATTATCCAACTGTTCACCCCTTTTTGGTAGTTTTTAAGGCTTGCAACCTTTTTTCCAGCTACTGAATGCCTTCCTCCATAGTTTGATGTGTAAACTAGGACATTTTGTCTGAAGTTTAGCGAAAGTCCGCGTACTTTTTTTTTTTTAAGAAAAAATAAAATAAAAATGAAAAAAAGGAGACATTTTGTTCGAAGGTCAGGGAAAGTTGAGGATTTGGAAAATTTTGGAGTCAGGGAAAAGCGAAAATTGTTTGTTCTGTCAGGCGTATTTTTAAAGGTTAACTGGACCACATTTTGAATAGGGAACTATTATGTCTGACCGGTGGCCAGGCGTGAATGATCGTATTTCCCCATTCAAAGCTATGATACCAAAGAATCTATTATTAATGTGTTTGTCGCAAACTTCCTGTTTATCGATCCTTTTCCATAAGTTTAAATGGCAGATCGATCGATGTATCGCAAAGCACGCCATGCCACTGGTCCTGACTCATTTCAGGAACAACGTATGAGCCATTGAATACCCTATCAATATGAGTGCTTATAAGGATGAGTCAGGAATTGTAGTTGGCTGTTTCAAAATGTAGTCCTACTAACTTGGGCGAAGAGGGGTAGTTTTTTTTCTCACATTTTGCTCCCAGTTGGAAATGACGGCAGAGGGTCGGCGGTCGGCCTCAGCAACGATTCCCGAATGATTCTTCCCTCGTCAGCATGACCCTTAGCCGCCCCCCCCCCTCCTTGGTACCCTTTAATTATTCATCCACAAGCGTGGTTTCAACTTTAAGCGTTTATTCGATGGTATCTTGGGTGCTAGTCCCTATTTTTGTTGTTCTCTCGACTCTTATCTCAATGAGCTCACAAATAGAACGCTCTCAAAACGATTATAATGCTGTCATAACTTTCGAATTGAATTGTCGATCCAATAGTGAGACCTAGAGCACCCATCTCCATTCCAGCGTTTCATACTATCAACGATATCTTATTTTTCAGAAAAGAACATAACTATATAACATATTAACATTGTTTGATAGGAATTTTAAAACCAGCAGTAAAAGTATATGTAAATGATAAATCATTTTTTTAGACAAGGAAAACTCACCTTTTTCACTATAAAGTCTTTAGTCTACGCGTTTCGGGACCTTCCTAGTCGGAGATGCAACGACTAATAAACCGATACAACCAATCACATCCGCGCGATACGTCCTGAGGAAGGGACCTAGGAAAGTCCCAAAACGTGTAGACTTAAAGTTTATAGTGAAAGTGGTGAGTTTTTTTTAAAAAAATCGATGTATCATTCACCAATACTTATCCCTAGAGGTTTCCCCGGAAAAGTAAAGGAACATCACAAGCTTTCCGGCATTGCAGCGAAGATTGGCCATGGTTAGTAAATTTAGAAGTCGTATGGATACTCTTGAACCACGGGTAATACTTTTAACTCTCATTGAGTGAAAATGTTGCCCTCAAGAAATATTCTTGGTATCTTTTGAATAAATTGTTTTTGGGGATTTTAAAAAATTGTTTTCTAAGGATTTTGGAGCTTTAATGTAGGTAAAATTGCATGTCCACGAAATGAAGGAGGCCGTGAAATCTTTTCGGCTGACTTAGGGACTTTAACGCATGAGTAAGAATGTAGAATGGGGTGAAACACGTGTTCCTTCTCCTTTACTTTAAAATCTTATAAAACCATCACAAGGGTTGAAATTTTAGTGTATCTAAAGAATAAGCTAAAAGATTAGAAGCCACGGCAAAGGCTTAAGAAGCATTAACTCTGGACCCTAAGTTAAGTCTGTACTGTTCTCTATGCAAAAAAAAAATCCTTTAGAAAAACAGGCGGCCCGGTTCAAGGAAAAACATCGCAAGCAAGACAAAAAATTACCCTGTGACTACTGAAATTGGACAATGCAATCGGGTTACTCCCTGCCTCCCCTCCTAATGCTCATGTAGGTACCTATTTAGTTAGAACATAGGACACTTTTAAGAACATGCACGTAGTAGTGCAGCTGGAATTTTATTAATGGTGAGAATGTTACAAGAATCATTTCTTTCTTCCCTCGCTGCTTGAACCTAATTTCTTAATTTGATTGATAGTCAGTATAAATGGGCCTTTTCTGCTCAGTTCTCGTGTTTTTAATTTAGCTTTTTTGTCTAATATGTAAATGTTGATCAACTCAAACGATTTGATGGTTTTTTTTCTGCTTGTACTCTCATATGTCTAGTTAACTGGATTTTCGGTTTTTTTGCAGATCTGGACACAAGATGAGTATGGACTTCTACTTCAGCGGGCAGGATGCTCTTTCGCTGCAAGAAATGATCGATTTTGACTCAAAGCGCGAGTACGATGACTACAACTCAATCGACTTCGAGCTGGGTGCCTCGGTCCCACCGTTGGATCTTGATGAAAACTCAGTCAACGGACTAATATCTACGAGCCACCATGGTAACGGACTTCACATGTGGCTCAATGGTCATGCGATGACCAACTCGAGCCCTCTGAGCAACTCTAATTACAACCTTGACTTCATAGATGGAGATGCTGAGGCAGCCATGATGGTAGACCCACACAACGTTATTCCAATTGATCTCTTCAAAGCTGAACCAAGGTTCAACGATTCCCCGAACATTAAAGAGGAACCCATCGATGAGCTTGTTGTAAAACAAGAAAAGGAGTCAGAAGATGACCTAGCCTTAAACCCGGTGCCGGAATCAAAATTGGGGATAGAAGTCCAACTACCTGAAGAATCTAGAGCACCATCAACAATAATTAACAAGTGTAAACTTAAAGCTAAAGCAAATATAATTCGTGATAATTTAATAATTCCTACAAATTTAGTTTCTTCCATGGCTGTAAATAGAGTTAAGAATGGTTCCGATTCTGCCAAGTCTAATGTTCAATCTATGCCAAAAACATTGGCGACTATTAGGATAGGAAGACCAGATGATGCCAGTTTGATTACAACCTCTGGCAGCACAGTTAAGTCCTTACCGGTGACGATTGTGACAACATCGCAGAATAGTCTAAATCAAATAAAAATTGTAGAGGGGAGCGTCAAAACGCTAACACCAGTGACAGTGCAAACAAAGAAAGTGATCTCAGTTGACAAGAAGTCGTTTGGAATTCACCGATATCCAAAACCTGCATATTCTTATTCGTGCCTAATAGCGATGGCACTCAAGAATTCTAAGTCTGGTAGTCTCCCTGTTTCAGAAATTTATAATTTTATGTGGTGAGTTAAATTTCTGTCTCACTTCTAGTACCTCTGTTTCCTAGAGATGCGGACTGCTCGTAGTCCTCCCTTTTGTCTAATTAGCCTTCCGGTTTTTAAAACACTTTTTCTCTAAAATTTTCAAAAAGATGACCTTTTTATTGTTTCTTTTTGTTTACAAATTGCAGCAATTTTGCAAAGAACAGAAGATTTTTACGCTGAGACGAGCCGAGTTTCTTTGTCATTGCGTCTTTCCACGCGACTATCCGCAACCGGTCGGTTTGTGTGGTTGAGAAGTTTCTGCCATCATCCTTGATACCCAGCTCACCCATAATCTCTTATATTTCCTGAACCTGATGATTCTTTGAACATTCACAATGTACCAATCTTTATTCTAATAACATAAAAGATGTAGAAAAACTGTGATGTATTGGGTGTTTGCAGAACTATGCATCTTCCTACTCTATTTATAATATTTTTTTCCCTTCGAAATTTTTTTTTTTAAAAAATTGGCAAACTATATCGCCAATCATCAAAATTGTTCAAATGAACTTGTCAGTATAGTCATCATAAAAATTAAGTTATGGAAAAAATTTCAAAGAGGTAATGGTAATAGCTGAAGTAATTCAATGATTCTGTCCAAACTTGATGTAATACTTGATTTTGCTTTAATAGCTCCATTTTCACATCTTTGATGGTGGTAACTATTACATGAAAATGCAGAAAGTATTGGATTCCCCTGGTATCAAAAAGTATTTGAATTATTTGAGTCACTAATCAAGACTATCCAGTTTTACTTTGTAAACTTACCATTCTTTGCAATAAATGACTCATATTTTCATATCTGGTTTAAATACTGCAAAATTTTACCTAACTTTTTACTCCATTAATTTCTATATCTGTTGTCTTCTTTTTCAAAGTTCTAAATTATTATTTTTACTTCTGTTGTGCAGCAATCATTTTCCTTATTTTAAGACGGCGCCTAGTGGATGGAAGAACTCAGTACGCCACAATTTAAGTTTGAATCAATGTTTTGAAAAAATTGAGAAACCTATGCCGAATAGTGGATCTTCCAGGAAAGGCTGTCTATGGGCGATGAATCCGGACAAAATTGCCAAGATGGATGCAGAAGTTCAAAAGTGGTCTAAGAAAGATCCTATGGCAATCAAAAAAGCAATGGTTTATCCAGGTTGGTTACTCTCTATTTTGCCCTCTATTTTCAAATGGTGCGCATTAAATCAAATTGCAAAATTTTGCCTGCCGTCCGAATTTTTGGTGCGTAAACTTCAAATTTGAACCGAATTCCAAATTTTAAGTGTCTGAAAGTAAGTATCGTCCATTGGGATGCCATACAAATCAACGTACTAGATTTTTGTCGTATCTTTTTGCAAAATTTCATTCTTTATGATAGCCATGTCAAACTTTTAATGACTTAAAGATTTTTGATCGCTCCTAATTGGGTATAGTCAAAACGCTCAAAGTGAAGAGGAACTAAGTCAACTAACCCTTTACAGTAATCAGTGGCCCAGTAAATTCTTATGAGTTTTGACACAACAAATAATTAAACATAATTTTCTCAACCTCATCACAAGATTCAGTCATTGATTATAGATTGTTCCCTACTAAAGTTCTGTAATGTCTATCGCTTGTGACGCAAGTTTTTTTCAATGGTTTAGAAAACTTAGAAGCTCTGGAGCGAGGGGAAATGAAAGTTGGAAGTTACGAAGAGTCAGAGGAGTACGAAGAAGATCTGACAGAAGAGGAGGATCTCGGTGTTGATGCTGAAGATGATGTTGATGTTGACGTCGATGATGCCCCAGTAACGCAAACATATCTCTATAATGGTGCAGCAACAGCTATCGATATTGATCCATCAGATATGGAGGTATACACATGTTTTTAATACCTATTTGTGTTTAAGTCAGAGAGTATGAACTTTTTCAATACTCCTTCATATTAACCCATTGATAATCCCTTACATGCAGCTCTGTGTAATTCAAAAGACTCTTATATCTCATAACTGTAATTTTTGTGGCAAAAAATTTCAACTACACTTATTTTAATTTAAGACAAGCGAAAAACACCAATGATCTTTTTGCTCACCACGGAATTAACTAATTACAGGGTTGCCTCAGTCAGGGAAAACTGGGAAATGTCAGGGAAAAATTGTCAAGTCACCTTTATTTTCTTTCTAGAATGGGTTTACGTTTTGAACTACAAATTTTTCCTGAAAACTAGTCCAAATCATGTCTTTTTAAGTATTTGGAATATTCTCTCATTGTCAGGGAATTTTACCTAATGTGACAGAGAAATCAGGGAAATTTCAGGGGATTTTATTTTCTAAATTCTGTGGCAACTCTGTAATTAAGTTTCTACTGCACATTCCTGAATAGTCAAGGTAGTCCTCTACTAGGATTGATTCCGTGAACAAAAATGCCTTAGTCTATCAGCAGAATGGTTTATTCACTGTATAGCATTGTCTGCGGTAGTCAGATATTTTTGCTTATTTTTCATAAGGTTAAGGAAGAAAACAGGAGAGTAAAACCTACTTCACTGATCTTTATCACTAGCCTAACTGCATTTCACATTCTCTTATTTTTTCAACAGATAACTGAATAACGTAATGCTTTTGAAGTTTCTTTGAATTTACCCTAGATTCTTGAATAAGTAGCTCACAAAATTTTAAATTTCAGTGTCGCTTGGTTTAAAAAATAAAATATCAGAGAAAATTAAGCAACATCTGATGTAGTTAGGCCCATGTCAGTTAAATCCGTTCAATTTATCTTAATTTTATGTGATCTAATGCAATAACATTTCATATCCAGGTGATAGAAGACGGAGAAGGAGTTTTTCTCACAACCAAGGACGGCCAAGTGATTCTGAATTACAACAGTGAATCTGACATTGAATAAACTATGCTTCAAGTAGTGAGTAGGCTTTATTTTTAGTAGCTCAAAAACATTTTTGCAAACCTTCATCAAGGCAATCGGAGGAAGTGTACAACTTTCAATTTTATAAATTCTTTTTGTATGTACCTAACCGGTTTCGCCCTCCTTCATTTTTTCTTTTTGATTTTTTTTACCACTCAAAATGTTTTAATTGCTAAGCACATCAGAGTTCCTAATAATTGATTAGTAACCATTCATCATTTAATGAGTTCCATTGATTTTTTTCTTCATAAGCTGTTAATAAGTTTTTATGCTTCATTTAAGAGGGTTTTCAAAAATCACCTGTTAAAATTTTAAATCCTCAAGACGGATCATCAATTAATTACGTTCCTCTGCAACTTATAATTATTTCTCTTTTGCATTTTACTCCATTATTTTAAGTGTTATTTCCTCGTGGTTTGCAAATCGTTCAGTAACTGGATCCTTCTGAGAATGGGTCTCTACTTAGATGAGGTATGAATTTAAGCCCTACGCGCAGATTTTTCTCATCAAAATTTAATGAGAAGAACGAATTTTCCAGCAAGAAGTCTGAGTTTAAACGCCTGAACAAGATGTAAGTGTTTTTAATTAACATTGGTCAAAAAGCAAAAATACAAATGGCATTATCTATAAAAGCTATCTTCCATTTGATTAATAAACGAGAAAGTAAAAATACTGAGTGAACTGAGTACAAAAATATCATCAATTTCTGAATCAAACAATTGTGGGAGGATATTTTACAAGATGATCTAAGCCGCTCAAATACTTGTATTTCAATGGGAAACGCTGCCTCAGTGCGTCATGGCACCACAAGTGATTAATTTTTTTTATTTTTAAATCTTATTTTTATTAAATAAATTCTACCGATTTCCCATCCCAGTATAAATCGTAAAAAAATACTGTGAACTCAGCTCATCAAGCACTTCCCTAGAAAATATTACAAGTTTTTGGGTAAATTCTCCATCCATTTAATTCATTGTATAAAAAAATAAATGAATTAATAAAATTTAGAACCTAAGTTAGTTCACAGAATAACAGATCTTTTTTTAACGCATTAACTACTACGGTGTTTTGCAAGTATTTCTGCTGGTGGCATGGTGCACTATTCATTCCCAGAAACAATTTGGCGTACATGGGAAGCTTTTAAATATACCCGAATCACAAGATTCTAATTTCGGTTTTAAAATTCTTCCGTGAAAACTTGACATTTTTTTAAACACATATTTTTGCGTTTTTGTCGATAGCCCCCAAATTTCCCGAAAAGAACTAATGTCTTTGTCTTGGCAAGTGGAATAGCCATGCAATCGAGGTAGCAATTATTCAAATTGCACCCGTATTGACTTGGAAAACTGACAATGGTGAACAAGTTTGAGCCTAAAGCACTCCTCAAAGTAAGGATAAGGATGTTGATGCTACGACCACTATGTCTACTTTCATTCATTCTCATGGAACTCAGTTCTCACATGTAAAACAGTCACTTCTCATCACATTCTTTTAGAATGGGCCTGTTGCAAACTTTTGTTAGAGCAGAAGTAAGAGTCGTTTCTATCAGTAAATGTCTCAAAAATTACGATGAGCGCATTAGCAGAGTTTGAAATGCACTCCTAACTTCCCAATCTGTATAAGAAATTTGTGTTTTTTTACCCTCCTGCTTCAAAAACAATACCGTGGCACAGGTGAACATTTTATTAGAAGAGTCATTTCATTAAACTCTTTTGCAATAGCAATACTCAACTTAGTCGACGCTTCCGCTTGCAAATTGCAATTGAGAACCAAGGTCAAATGTGCTCATCGTGATTTTTGAGACATTTACTTATAGAGACAAATCTTCTTTTATCTTATTTCTGCTCTAGCAAAAGTTTGCAACAGGCCCATTCTACAAGAGTGAGATGAAAAGTGACTGTTTTTTACATATTACTCTGGAAAACTGACAAATTTTATTTTGCCCCTACTGCATTTAAAAGGAGACAGAGAAAACGCAACAGTATATTTGCAAGGACAGCTTTTCTCATGTGAACTGAGTTCCGTGAGAATGAATGAAAGTAGACATTATGGTTGTAGCGTCAACATCCTTATCTTTAATTTGAGGGATGCTTTACGCTCAAACTTGTTCATTGCAATGCCGGTTTTTCCAATTATCCCCCCCCCCCCCCAGCCCATTAGCCAAATATTTACAATGAATGTACAACTTTGTCGGGCCATTGTGATTGGTATGATATCTGCAGAATCATTTGCTTACGGTTAGAATAACCGGTGTGGTAGTCAATGTGTTAAACTTCTATTTTGCCTCTGTCTCATAAAATTCTGTTCCTGCGTATTCTTGAGACAATTTACTTTTGCCTCCATTAATATTATTCCCCTCCCTCCATGTTTCAAAAGAGGTACACTCTGCTGTCGGATGTGTCACTTAATGCAGGAGGTCCCCTTCTTATAAGGATCAGTAATTCCAAGTATTTTTCTTCATTAGTTTACCATCAAATCAGTGATCATTACCTTTTATAACCGTGGTCTCTCGGATTTAATGTTCGTTTGATTTCTTTTTTTCTCTCGTTTTTTGAAATAAGAGGAAACAGTAAATGTTGCAAATTGGCCAAGTCTAAAACAAGCATAACTCCCGTTGATAATTAAAATTACCTCTCAAAATCCTGTGCACCGCATTTATGTATGTAGTGCTGAACATGGCTTAGAAATTTTCACTTGTTTGATGTTCATTGCCTCTCCATACGCAATAGTTTGAGCATGATCTAATGCATTCAGCCTAGTCCTATTCAGCTTAGATTTACTGGTCTGGATACTTTTAAGTTTCAAATCATTCACCCTGTATTAACGTCAAAGGTCTGAAAGACCTTCTTCTGATCTGCAATTTTTTTTATGAAGTGTTTCTCGCTCAAAGGCAGCCTTGCAAGTTCAAATTGACACCATGTAATTTTTGACAGGAACCATTAGATATCCGTATAGTTTTAAAACTGAAAGTCAATACTTTTGTAAGCATACAGTCTGTAAGTCACCAAGTTCCTTGGTCAAATTGTCCTCTGCAAGCTTAATTAACGTAAAATGAAGATGTTTCTCTCTCATGTTTTGACCGTACTGTAGCCACAAGCCTAGTTTAGTAGTAGATGCTCAGTCCTACCTCAATGCCTGTAAATGAGCTCCAATTCCTTCCTCCTTATCCAGAGTAGAAGTTGTAACTTAGTCATACAACTAAATATTATGGTATATTTATATTTATTTTTAATTTTAATTTTACCTGTGGCTTGCAAAAATTTAGTTTTGATAAGGCAATCATTACTTTCTAGGATGAACGGTCAAGTGATGAGAATAGGCTCAATCAGTTATAACAAACTTTGGCTTGCCAAACCTTTTCAGGTTGTGCGCATTGTCAGGGTAGATTCAAATTGAACACAATTAAACTAAGTATAAAGATAGAAAAAAAAATATAATAATGGTACTTAAAAAGTGAAACAATAAGAGAAAGTAGAGCAGATGAGTTGTGAAGGCTAGCACACATTATCTTCCGCAGGGATATCCAAAAGAACCAAGTGAACAAACATCACATTGCTGAACATTAGTCTACCTATAGTATCATTCTCAGTTGAATGGGCAATCCTTATCTAAAAAGAGAATACAAAATGAGAAAAACAGGGAAAAACACGAGAAATTAGAGCTGAAAAATTGATGATCAAATCTTTAATAAAAACGATTTTGTGTTAGTGATAGGGTGCGCTAGGGCTCACTTCATGCCATCTTCTCTTTCTTTTTTGCGTTTAATGTGCCTGTGTACTTGAGTTATTTCATTTTCTATTCTTCAGTCTACTGATGTTTGTTTTTAACTACCTTGCAAATGCAAATAGCGCTTGAAATTTCTGTAAATTAAGGTATGTCGCAACTGATTTAACCTATTTTTATCATTGGGCCTTGGTAACATTATTCATCCGAAACCACCCCTTTGGTCCCTCCAGTTCTGTGGCCAGCAGCCATTAGCTCCCAAAATCACATGGTCTGGTATGCATTCAGGAGGTTGTGAGCACATTTTGCTTTCAATCTATTTGATCGCTAGTGTTGTGAGAATGCAATAATATTTCTACTCAACAAGACGGTAGAAAAGTATCTTGCAGATAATATATTAGTCCATAATACCGATGTGAATGCTCTTATTGTTAGTGTCAAAGCATGGAGGCCGATAATTACTCTCCTATAATTCACCTCCTTGGAGATAAAGTAGTTTTTTAAAAATCGTCAATTAGAAAATAAATCATAGAATTTCTTTCACTTTTAAACTTTTCTCTACAGTCTGCCTTCTCGAAACTCCTCTGACTGCTTCTCTAAAACCTATGCTCTAAAGTTTTCCGTCTGTTTTATTTAAATTCTATATGAGAGTTTGCTTTCCTTTCTCTGATATTTTTCCATGATTCATGTGAGTTGACCCAACTTTTTTGCTGGAACAAACCTTTTTATTTGCATTTATTTCATCACACCAATACTCATGTCAAGTGTTTCATTATCAGCCAAAACTCAGCGTTTTTTGAAGAAAGTTATTTAAATCACTCCAGGCAAGAATTTTTTTCAACACAACGTTTTTTCTATCTTTTTGAAAGTGGTAAAAAATCCTCAGTCAAAATAATGTCTTTTTGACCTCTATATTTATCAGTAAATTATTATTCCTCATCTCTGAATCAATCTAGTTATTTCAATTTTCAATGCAATATTTATTTACTTGAAGGGTGCAAAAAAATGCTCCATCCTGTAAATCACAGCGACCAAGAGTCAAATCTCAGGTTAAGAGGCATAATCATAACCTCTAAAAAGCTGTTTTGGAAATTTTTCCAGGAGGCAGAAATGCTGGATGGCAAGAAGCAGTCAGCATTTTCAAACTTTTTGCACTCCTGATGAACTCTCATTATAAGATGTCTATTGCGCTCTATTTAAAACCTATGAAAGCAACAGAAACGTTGTCAGCCTTGCGCAATCTCTACAGAAGTTTGTGTGAAGCATTTATCTATGCCCATCTTCTGATTTGTGTGCTGATTTTGGCTGAAGCACTTATTCGTTTCATCTTAAGTTTGCTTTTACATCTGCCTTCATTTTTTCATGCTTTCTTTTGTCAGAAGAAAAAAAAAAGAAAAGAAAAAAAAAGCTATAATTTCTATGAAACATTCTGTCAAAATGCTTAAATTATAGAAGAAGTCTGTAAAATTTTCTTTTTGAGCCGTCTCCTTAATACCTCATTTTATTAATTCAAACTTTTTCTCGATCAATTATTGCAAAATTAGAAATTATTCAAGTACCTACTGTAGATATGGACCATAGATATTTTTCTACGCTTATTTAGAAGAAATTAATGAATTTTCTTTGATAATTCTAAAATTTTGTATTTTTAGTATTTAATTTTCTAACAAGGGAGAATTTAAATAACTTTAAGGAGTCTCTTGCTTTTAAGTCAACCATAGGTGCAGTTTTTACTGAGGGTGAAAGTAAGGCTTAGAGAGTGAAAATGTATAAGCTTTAAGAAATTTTCTGATGATATATAAGAGGGAGCTCTGCTGCTGTAAATTTAAATAAAATTGATAATCTGAAAATTTGTAGTGTAGCCATTCACCTGTGAGGAGTCTTACAAGCTTTATTTTGAACGAAATTAATTTGAAAAGACAAAAGCTCAAATTAAATGTAAAACTCAGTGGAATTGATATTGTTCGTAGAGGCCCAAGTGCCAAAAAATAAGTTTTGAGAAAAATTGGATAGAAGTGTGCCATTTGGCATGTGTTCAATTTAGTGAGTCTAGTTTCAATAGATACTCTTTAGACACATACAGTTTTTTGGCTTGGAAGATTAAACAGAGGCTGAATGGTACGGATTTCTCGTTTTCCTCAAAACTTTAATTTTGGAGCTTGGGCCCTTAAAAAAATATCAGTTCAATTCGGCAAAACATTCACTAGTTTGTGTGACATTATATCCTTTGAGGTGGATCTTCAGCACATAGGATAACTATTCAAAAGTTGATCGATCAACTGATGCTTCCGGGATTGTAAAACATCCCTTCAAAAATCACCATCTCTCTCTCTCTCATCTCTCACCTCGCTTTGAAAAAAAAAAAAAATTGACAGAAGTTATCAGAAATTGAGTCCTTGATTAACCTATACTTTTCCCATTGCTGAGCTATTAAATGATCATCATTGTGTTGTCCCTGAACATCCAAAGGCTCCTCATAATGGAACTTGTTCCATAACTAAGCTCAGATAAAAGCTCTATGTATATAATTACTAAATCTCAGAGGCAGTCGAACTATTCTCAATTATTATTGTTTTTTTAAAAATCTGTGATGAAATTTTATTATTTTAGTAAGAGTTTCAAATTTTAATCTTTTTTGTTCCCCTGTCATTTTTTATCATGTTTATGAGAGTTTATTAGCATCGTAACTCAGTGTAAGTAATTACTATATGTAAAGGTGGAGAAAGTGACCTCTGTAAGGTTCTCGCTGCTACAGTGTAATTTTTGTACTTTTTGTTTGTTTTTTTGAAGTATCATCTTAATGCGAAGTTGCAAGTGAACTCTGTTGTAATTGATTTTCAATTTATATCTATATGTACTTAAATTGTTGTATGTCTCTTACTGTAGGCAGTAGTCAAGAGAGGGGCCTCGAACCCCGTAGGATCTCAACATTTTCCTCAAGATAAAAACATCCTACCGCTTTGTTTTACTTCGTAAAATTCTGTGGTGAAACACATTGTCAATTCAGTAAAGAAAAAGCTACGAGAAATGAATTGACCTTATGGTTCCCTCTTCTCAGGTCTATAGTGCTCGATCTGCCTACTTTAAATCAGTTTCACAGTTTTTCTAATTTTTTTAATGTTTATTTTTTTCCTTTTCCCCCCTTTTGACAAATTTTTTTAACATTTGTATTTTTTTATAGTTGTGAAAAATAATTTTTGTAACTTGCTGTTTTTGTGCATTTGCCTGTAGCCCTTACAAGCATTGTCTAATGACAGGTGTGATGATGTCTGAATGGTGTTTCAATCAAGGAGAAGAATTATTGTTAAATTTCCCGTTTTTTCTTGAGTCTCTGCTCATCGCATTGCACATTAACCATTCAGCAAAATGTTGATTTTTTCGATCATATGTTGAGAGTTCTGATGACTGATCATGAGTCTTTTAACTCTTCTCCTTTTTTCCAAGTATGCTTTTTTGTAAAGTGTGTATATGTGTGTCAAATCAACAAAAATGCATTTAAATATGTTTTCTACAGAAGAATTAGAGAATAAAAAGCTAATTTTAAAAGTAACTCGAATTTTTTCCCCTCTTTTCAATCTTTTCCCTTGATACTATGAGTTGCTCATTCTTATTCTTTTAACCAGCTGGATGGTTTACATTTTTAGTACTTCTTGGTACATTTTTATAGGGGAAAAAAGTAGAACACTGTAAACCGTAGTATGAAATTCAAAAGAAGTGGTGTCAAAATTTCAAATCGAATAGATATTGAAGGTAACTTCAAGAATGTTTCAAAGCAGAATGACCCGATGAAAATTCGTCGTTTCTTCGGCTATTCTGCTAACAGAGAGGACTAATCATGGCAGATATCAAGAAATTATGTTCACTATTTTTCCAAATAAAAAGAGAAAAATAACAGAAAGTGTGCAACGTCGCCAACCGAGATACGTGGTTTCGCACTTTAGCCATCGTCATAAGGATTTCATATTGAAGCATAAGGAGCGCCAAGCGCTCACTTCACTGTTGATCTTACTTACAAGCGTTTCAACAGGGCCCTGTATACTTGGAATACCTTTTGAAAACGCCTTCAAATGCGGCGTAATACCTCACACATTCCGGAGAGTTCAAATAGTTGTATCATTGCGCCGTAAGAATGTGACGGAAGATTTAAATGGAAATAGCCTCCATGCACGCTGAGCGTGTCGATTTCCTTTGACATTTTTGCAGTGGTGAATGCATAGCTGAAGTGCGCTCCAGCTATAGAATTGTATTTACAAATGGGTGGTTTTTCTACGAGGATTAAAAATAAACAAGTGGTTAGAAATGAAAACAAAAGAATATGAACTTAACGATGATCCGGGTATCGGAACTTGGCTGATTTGAAAACGCCTTCAAATGCGGCGTGATACCTCACGCATTCCGGAGAGTTCAAATAGTTGTATCATTGCGCCGTAAGAATGTGACGGAAGATTTAAATGGAAATAGCCTCCATGCACGCTGAGCGTGTCGATTTCCTTTGACATTTTTGCAGTGGTGAATGCATAGCTGAAGTGCGCTCCAGCTAGAATTGTATTTAGCAAATGGGTGGTTTTTCTACGAGGATTAAAAATAAACGAGTGGTACGGAATATAACAAAAGAATATGAACTATGCAAAACGATAATCCGGGTATCGGAATTTGGCTGATTTGAAAACGCCTTCGAATGCGGCGTGACACCTCACGCATTCCGGAGAGCTCAAAAAGTTGTATCATTGCGCCGTATGAATGTGACGGAAGATTTAAATGGAAATAGCCTTCATGCAGGCTCGCCACATCCCATCTCGGGCCCTGGTACCAGTTTTAAGGTCCGGGCCCCAAGCACGGAGGGGGGTCCGAGAGGGCAAATTTTAGAATTTAAACGACAAATCATTTTGAAGCTTCCATAAAGAATTTTTCCATCAATTTCTGCGGAATAATTGTTTTTTTTTCATACTTTCAGCACAAAATACTTGCGAATTGTTGCATTCAAAACATCTGGAAAATTTTTATTTTTATTTTTTTTTTTGGGGGGGGGGGCATATGATACTATTTTCAGTTCTAAGAGGGCCAGGCCCCCCTGGACTCCCCCTTCGTTTGTCAATGGCAAGGGAGTTGAGCCATGAGCCATTGAAGTCGAGGATGCCTAGACTGGAGACCCTTAGCATCTGACGACGGGAGAAAATGAAACGCAGTTATACTAAAAATATCCCTCTGTACTGAAAATCTTGAAAATAGGTAGAAATTTTCCAAGAAGTATACTTCTTTGAAAATTTAAGAAGAATTCTACGGTGCCCCAGCGTGTTTCTGAAAATCTATTCACCTTTTGCGAAATTTTAAGGGTAAATTTTTCACTTTTTCTTACGAAACAAGGGTTGCATGTGCATTCGTAGTGGTTTTTCACGGGTAACACGGGCCCCCTCCGGGGCCAGGAACCCAGTACCCCCCCCCCCTTGTGGCGGGCCTGAGCATACGTAAGCTGATCAGCTGTTCTGTATTTTTATATATTTTAGGGAATTCGCTGGTCTGGAAAAGTTGCTAAATGCTTATCACTCGAGGGGCCTTCATGTCCATTATTCACTCGCTGGGCAAATGCTATCATGAGGGTATGGGCTCACGATAATTGGAATAGTTTTTTCGCAGCAACAGACAACACATTTTTCGGTCATATTTTCAGTATTAATGATAATCACTCGAATTTTTTCGCATTAATCTTTAAAGGGTTACGCATTATAACACTTTCTAATGATTTATTTCTCTACTTCTCAATTAATATTATGTAAATTCCGAAAATGTGCTGTCTGTTACGCAGTAAAAAGTGAGCGTAACAGACAGCACATATTCGACCATTTATGTATTAAAATTGAAAAATTGAGCGATAAATCTTTGTAAAGCATTAGCACTCGTAACCTTGTGCAGATTAATGCAAAATAATTCGAGTGATTATCATTACTACTAAAAATATGACCGAAAAATGCGTTGTCTGTTACGGCGACAAAACTATTCTAGTTATCGTGAAATCACCCATGAACTGACGGAACATCACAACGATCAGTTTTATTAGAGTCAATCGAGTCATGCAATACCTACCTCTTCTACAATCTATCTACGGGGGTTTTGCTCCCTAAAAAACACGTATCACATTGCGAACATTTGTATCCTGTTGCTTGGGCCAATAATTCGCCTTCAAATAGTTGGCTATGCAAAATGACTGTCGCCACGCACGAATAGTGGTATCAAAATTTCGCATTAAGATTACGCAGTGATTTGAAGGCGTCGCTATGTATCCTATCTGAGTGGCCCTGTACGATGATGTCGACCAAAAATCTTCATAATTTGTGAGTTTTTAATCGAGCCGTAATTTTTTAAAATGCGCGAAGAACATTCTTTTGAATTCTAATGTTTCTTATGTCTGTAAGTCTGATTCCAAAAAAGAGAGCCCAAACGCTCGGTTCAGATTGTAATTTTTACAATAAAAAAAAAAAAATTTATAAAGCGGGTAAGAAGGCTAATTCTAAGAATAAAACCAAAACGTCTCGGCTGAAAACTCAGCCTTCCTCAGTCGTGTAAAATAGTAAAAATAAAAATATTAATAATCTGCAATAGTACCTGGCTGTACCTTTTAAAGCGAGCATGTTGTTATGAAAGACACATTTTATTGTGGTTTTTTTTTAAGTCCTCTTGCTATTGTCATCGTATTCTTATGCAAAACTGAGAAAGTCGCCGTTCACAAGATCGCAACTTACTCAAGAGTGGTTGTGAATCCAACAAGTTTCGCACGGATAAAATTAGCTTTTAATCAAAATTGAAGAAGAGATACTTTGTCCACTGGCCCAGGTTCTGGTACCAGCCACTGGCAACCCCTCGATATACTTGTCCCGCACCCAGTCGTTCGATACAATGCGAGATGGATAAGTTTATATCCAGAGTAGAGGTATAAGACCACAGATCAACCTCGCGCCGCAACTGGTAGTGGAATGACCAGTTTCTTAAAGTTTAATAACTTTTCGTCAAAAGCGTGGTGCATTCCATCCCCGTCCTTCCTCATAAGTAGGAGGTCAGAAACGACACTAAATGCAATGCAACAAAAAAAACAAACATTTAATAGGAAATATCAAGTGTGTGCATCTGCGGACGAAATTGGAGCTAGTTCAGTGCCAGTTTTAACGGCTGGGTGTTACCTCTCAAGGCGTTAGGGCTGCATAGGAAGCAGTGTTATCTTTGCACATTTGATCGCGCGGGAAGAAAAAGTCAAACGACGATTGGTAAGTAAAAAGTTAGAAAACTTAATTTTATCGAAGCGGCTGTTAGGTTTCCTTCGCATTTCCATAAAGATATATGCTTAAACTCTGGCCAACTTAAAATGAGGGGCTTGGAGGACAAAGCACATACGTGCAGTTTATGCTATTTTAAGAAATACATGTTTGAAGTTCCGAAATTACATGGATCCTTATGACCGATAAAGGAGGTTCAAACTGACTTTTTGATACTTAAAAATTGGAATTTGGGAGCGAGTTTTTCACATAAAATGCATTAAGACTAACAATACTTGAAATAATTAATACCTATCTCGATTTGTTCAAAAACTGCACTTATGCACATTGTCCTCCAAGCCTCTCAAATAATGATAATTTTCTAAAAAAAAGCGAGGAGACATCTATGTACTTTAGGTTTTATAAAATTTTGTTTGTGGCTTCAATTATCCAGCTGAAAACCAATCAAAATTTCACCCACATCTGTTAATGACATGCCCATACTGTATCTTGAGTTTTTCTTATTTTTTTTTATTTATTATTTTTTTTTTTTATTTCATAGATTTCTTCTTTTCCTTTTTTTTCGTTAACAATGAACAAGAATTTTTACCTTGTAAATCTCCTAACGATTTGCAACAATTTTCAGGAACTTTCTACGCAGAACATACGTGCTCGTTGGTAAATACAAAAAAAATAGTCGTCAGGGTGAGACTTCGGATCCAATATGGCGTGGCGTGCTTTGCGATGTATCGATTGATATGCCATTTAAACCTATGGAAAAGGATCGATAAACAAGGTCTTCGCAACGAGCATATCAGTTATGGATTCTTTACCACGGATTCAAATGGAGAAATATCGATAATCGATTATCACGCCTCGCCACTGTTCGTAACATTTTAATGCTAGTAAGATTTTAATATCTGCCTCCGCCTCATTAAACAACAAAAAATTATAAACCTAAAAAATATTTATAAAAGAGATAAAGAAAAGGCCACAGACGAGCTTATTGCATTTCGTGTATTTTAGAACTATTATCATTAATGTCATTTCAACAACTTAAATTCTTATTATAACTGAAGCTCAAAAATAAAATAGATGCACGGAGAAGGAATGCATGAACGATGATTACCTACTTATACATCGAAACTAACTAATGACAATTTTTTTATTATGTATATAGATGGATTCTATCAATTTTGCTGGCTTGCAAACCAAAATAATAAACATATTGTGCTGTTTCTTGATTTTTCTTTTGCTCATTGAAGTTCTCTTGCAACGCTGGAAAAATAGAAGAGTGAACAAATTTATGAACACCATTCCAGGACCAACATCTTTCCCAATCATCGGATCAGCGTATCTGCTCATTGGTGTCACAACTCAAAGTAAGATCATTTGTTTTTTTTTTTTCTATGGCTTATGTGTCATGTTATGCAATTTACTTGTAGAGGGCAGGGAGGGGCGCTAGAGGACGAAACAATCCCTTGAGAGAAGTGCAAAGAAATGCAGAGCGCCTTCATTTTCTCCTGTAGGCAATACCGACATCCTCTGGGCTAGAATAGTTGCGTTCTGTCAACATGTCCCAAAATAACTTCCGCAGCCTGGCTCGAAAAACTTGGCCCCTGAAATATAACTTCGCTTCTGACATACGAATTGTTCAAAATTCTGTGTGTCCGGGTGAACTTTCCGATGTTTTTTCCTCCGTGTTTGAAGTTTTCCGGACTTTACCTTCAAACGTAAAACAATCATAGTTCCCTATAGGTAACGGTGAAAACTCAAAATATTCAGAGGAATCGTGGAAGAACTTCGTCCAAGCTTCCTTCAATTCCGATTCCTCCATCTCTATCCAGTCTCCTTCACTCACTATTATCTTCGTGTCATCATGAGAAAGACGAACCATTGTCGAGATCAGGTCATCAATAGTCTAGAACATATCGAAAGAAAATTGTGATCTTCATCATCGGTAAAAGTCTAAAATAGTTTCAAAGGGCGTCTTTTGTCTTTTCTTATTAACGGTCTGGCGGTCTTACGGCTGTCGTTCCCATCACATCAGTGATACAAAAAGTGACACTATATAGTTGAAATGTTGTTGTCTCAATATACCATTTAATGAACGAAAAATCAAAAAAATTCGGACATGTGAAAATGGTCGATTTTGCATCACTTGGTATTAGAAAGACTTATTTTGAAGGCAACTCCTGGATCTTGCGACAGCCCTATTAAAGAGATAACTTAAGGGGATAATCCTCATGTTTACTTACGAGATCATCATAGATTGCTTCTGACAGTAAAATTATATCCTGCTTGGGCATGGACCTAATTTTTTCGTCATCGCCCCAAGATAATACCTCAACTCGAATTTCTCCCGAGATCTTTTGAATAGTTTCTATATTTAGATCGATGCTCCTCTGTAGGTAGGGCACAATTTGCGGGCGGTCTGTGACTGTAACATTTCCTCTGAAACAAAAAATTTGAAATAATGATACGGAGTACGAATTATCCAATTTTTACTAGTCTCGAACAAACAGTGAAATAAGTAGGTACCTGTTTCGTGTTAAGTAGTCGTGCATAGAGTAAGTTTCCTATTTTTTCGCTCCGACTAAAAACGTTATAGGAAGAAACCCTATGCTGCCGTGCTAAGGAAAAACACCGTATGAGCCCTCAGACGTTGCCAAATTTTCTATGATAAAACACGAAATTACCTGATGAACTTATGAATATTTTTCTTCCAGATTTTCAGAGAGAAAGTCAGTATTTTGATCTAAAGTTACCGAAAATTTCGAGGAAAAATATTCAAAACCTCCCTCAATAATAAACATTTTATTGAGAGAAATTTGGTAACCCTCGCATGCTCATACGGGGTTCTTCCTTAGCTCGGCAGTATGCCGTTGTAAGGAAGAAACAGCAAACCAAATTAAATGCTACGAAATCAAAGAAGTGTTATATATTTACCGATCGTCCATACACTAACATTCCATTTTTATCAGGGGATGATAAAATTTCACAGCACGACTCAGTCGCTCGATATCTCCGACTTTACCTGGATTTCTGGCTCAGGTGGGGCAACCATATTAAGAAATAAGTTGCTCAAATGCGACTAAAATTCTGTAATAATGTAGTGACTCATCTGGCGAAAGTCACGGTTACCTCTAAACATAAATAAGTTATGCTCCTCTACAAGTCAATGTTGAGGTCAGTTTGGAGTTAATGGCTGCAGTTAAGTGGTATTGCGCAGCCAAGTGAAATCTTGATAAAATAGAAGTGATCAAGATGAAAATCTTATGAAGTATTATCAAAGAGATGGTAAGAGAGGAATGTAAATATTTGCACGGATCTCAACATGGATTCAGTGGAGGACTATCTTTGGCTCTCCCATAAAAGCACATATCTGCATAGAGAAACCAATAGCATGTATGTTGTTTCAAAAATGGCCCGAAAATGGTGGTTCCTTATGGCAAAATGTAATCCAATCGCGGGCCGAGCGACATCCCCTACTTTTACAAGTCGTCTTTGATGGGCTGTTCCGTCTGGTGCCCACTACTTGGGGCCCTTCCCAAGTAGCATTTTTCAACGAAAACATCGCGATATCCTGAAATTAAGTTGCGGATTTTTTCCACCATTTTTCGGCGATATGATCGCTAGGATCATCAAAATTTGAGCGATTATCCTCAATCTTGTCGCCATTTCATCTCTGTAAAATCGCTTTCGATAAAATCGAAGTTTTGTCTCAATTTACCACGATTTTTGTTTGATACCTAATATTGCGATGATAAAGTGCCGATGATAAAATCGCGATTTTATCGCAAATTTATGCTATGAAATCGAAATTTAGCGCAGTTTTCATCCGATAATACAAAAAAAAAATGTACGTCGATAAAATCGCGATACATTTTCTGATCAAATCGCAACGTATTGCGATCACGGCTACTTGGGTTATGGAAAATATAGGTAACACCGGTCTCATATTTCGGTCATATTTTTTATCGATAATATCTCGAAAAAAAGGACCGAGGTGGACTTCTGGTGTAGATCGGCCGGAGTGTCGAGGAAGGATCACGTTCGGAATAAAAGGATACGTGAAGTTATGGGCGTCGAAAACAAAACATTGTGCATCATATCATTTTCACGAAACAGCTTGTCTGCTTTAGGCGTGTGCAAAGGATGTCAGAAAGAAGGCTCTGGATTGGGTCCCCCTGGTGGTGGTGGTAGTAGTAGTAGTAGTAGTAGTAGTAGTAGTAGTAGTAGTAGTAGTAGTAGTAGTAGTAGTAGTAGTAGTAGTAGTAGTAGTAGTAGCAGTAGTAGTAGTAGCAGCAGCAGCAGCAGCAGCAGCAGTAGTAGTAGTAGTGGTAGTGTTGGTAGTGGTGGTGGTATAGATTTCAGAAATGATTTCTCCGGATTTTCTGAAGATATTGATGGGTAATACATAACATTTATTCTGAAACACACCGAACCTGGAGCCGATGTGGACCTGGAATTTATTTATTCATTTTCTTAAATCTTAAAATATAACACTTGGTGTCATGGGGAAAAAATCAGGTCAAGCTGTTCGGTGTATTTGCGAAAAAAAAGTGTAATGTATTACCCATGAATCCCCCCCTGAGGGAAATCTGGAGAGTTGATTTCTGAAATCTTTGACGCATAAATGTGTCCTCGTTTTCGAGATATTTTCGATGAAAAATGAGCTCCGTGTTATTCGTGTTTTTTTTTCCGTGTGTATGGGCCCCAGGAAGTGGGCACGAAGCGGGTGAGCCGATCGGAGACGACTCGTAAAAGTCGGGGGTAGCACTCGGCCCGCAATGGGCCTGTTGCAAACTTTTGCTAGAGCAAAAATAAGAGTTGTTTCCTGTAGATAATGCCTCAAAAATCACGATGAGCGCATCGGCAAAGTCTGAAATGCACTCATAACTTCACAATCTGCCTAAGAAATTTGCGTTTTTTTAAGCTTCCCGCTTCAAAAACGATACTACGGCACAGGTGAACATTTTGTTAGAGGAGTCGCTCCATCGTCGGCGATATTCATCATGGCCGACGCTTGCGCGCAGTTCCGCGCGTAATTCGAGGAGAGTTCAAGGTCAATCAATTCGGGCGTGGAAAATATGAACGTTAACACACCGATTGTTATTTGGTATAATCCAGTTCAGGTGTTATCTCGTCCCATCAAACGTGTTTTGGCGGATTGGCGTCGGCCATGATGATTATTGCCGACGATGGAACGACTCCTCTTACAAAATGTTCACCTGTGCCGTAGTATCGTTTTTGAAGCGGGAAGCTCAAAAAACCGCAAATTTCTTACGCAGACTGCGAAGTTATGAGTGCATTTCAGACTTTGCCGATACGCTCATCGTGATTTTTGAGGCATTATCTATAAGAAACAACTCTTATTTTTGCTCTAGCAAAAGTTTGCAACAGGCCCATTCATGGCGACTGTTAGTTTATCTTTGACTTTACACGTCGTCTACTTTATATTTGAAATTCTTACCCTAAACACGCAGCAACAATGCCAGGGAAGCCAAGCCCCGCTCCAAGCTCCAGCACCTTTTTCCCGTGGACCCAATTATTCTCTTCACAAGATTCTTCCAAATAATACGCGATTACTCTAGCCGCTTCCGATATCTGAACATTGGGTCTAATAGGATTCTCCAGGAAATGAAGAGTTATATTCAATTTTTCCATTTCGATGTGTTTTTCAAATACTTTTAAAAGTATTTTTAATCTTTCCGGATTATCGAATAGCCCTTCCTGTGAGGTGGCCACGTTCTCACACCCCTGGGACTTTTGAGCTTCATCGAGTCTAGCGGTGATTACCTGTCACATACAAGTAGATTAATGTAACAATACAGTACTGATCATGGGTGGAAACATTTTTTTCTGACTCACTATTAGGTAGGTCTGAAAGCCCTGCTAAAAATGGTGAGTACAAATGAGTGAAAAATCAAAGTCATGTGAATAGAATTTCAATTCATATGAATAAAATGTCGACTCATTTGAATATAATTTCAACTTATATGAATAGAATTAAACTCATATGAGCAGAATTTCTCTATTCAGTTTTCGCCAACTCATATGACCAGAGATTTCAACTCACATGAGTTCAGCGTTGAATCTACCGCGTATGATATCTCAGAAACTAGTCACCGCATCAAAGAAATTATAAGAACAAAATGTTTTCATTTTTCAAATTTACGTGTCATGCCGGAGTCTCCTGGTCAGAAACAGCATTTCTAGAAAATGAAAAAAAATTGAATTCATATGAGTTGAACTTTTCTACTCTTGTGAGTAGAATATTCTAGTGGTATGAGTAGGATTTCTACTCATATAAGTAGGAAGTTTTACTCATGTGAGTTGGCGGATTTTGAATAGCCTACTCGTCATTTTTAGGAGGGAGGAAAATACATGTGTGCTAATTTTATTAACCCTTCACTGAAAAAACAATCTCGGTGTATTTACTGAGAAAAGGGTAAAATTACCAAGAATTCAGGGTTCTATTTGATCCCAGTTTTTTCTTGGTAAAATTACCATTTATGGAATTGGTAATTTTACCGAGAAATCTCGATAAAATTATTGACTGTCTCGGTAATTTTATTGGATCCCGGTAAAAACGCCAGTATTTTTTATCGACTGTGGTAGAATTACCGAGAAAAAATGGCAAAGTTACCGGGAATTGATTACCAATAAAAGTGGTATTCTTACCTGAAAAAACAGTAAAAATACCGGTTTTTAGGTAAGCTTATCAGTCTGTCTTGGTAAAATTACCAATAATTGGTAAAAAAAAGTGAGATGGTAAAGGTACCAACGGACCTTGGTGAAAACGCCGAGAATTTTTTTTCAGTGTTCGGGCATCGAGCACCTTGAGTTTCTACTCCGATCTCATCCCGCGCTCTCTCTGTGGGCGCTCTCTTCACCTCTTCCCAGAAGGAATACCCAATCCAGGACCTTCCTCGGCAACCTAGATCTCCCGCCATTCTCTGAACATGGCCAAGTGCAGCAGGTGATAAACGTCAAAGGTTGGCAACAACCCTTTCTCATCTGCTCACACCTTCTCTCACCAAGAATCACCAAGAATCGCCGTTTCTTGGGCTCCTAAGGATCTCTTTGAGAATCAGTCATACTCCCCCTTTGAAGATACTCTGAGAGTGATCTGCTCTGCCGTGATAGCGAAGAGAGCCGTAAGTGCAAAATTTTCGAAATCGAGTTTTCTTCAAAATTCGTCTAAACTCTTTTAGATGAAATTACTGAGACAGCGAAAACAGCAAAATTCATCCTAATTTAATGAAAACGAGACGTATGAGAAAGCCGTAAAGTGCACAAAAAATGACTATGGTTTTTTTCAAGACAGCCGTAGGTGCATGAGAGCCAATGAAAACAGTGCTTACCAGTAAAGTGCCGCCCTCTTCTGCCAATTTCTAACCTGAAAATGTGTTTGTTGTGCATCCAAAACGCAACCACGAAAGCATGCAGAAGATAGCACTTACGGCTGTCTTGCCTAACAATAACCTAACACGAAACTGAATTTTACCTTTTTCATGTACTTTAAAATAAAATCGGTCGAGTATTAATCCCCCAAATGATTTCTAGGAGTCTTCCGGACGAATAGTAGCAATTTGACGAAGAACGGAGGCTCCTTTCAATAAAATGTTCCGGTCACAAGCTTCTGAGCCCGTTTTCTCAGAACTTCATTTTTGCAGTTACGGCTCTCTTCGCTATCACGGCAGTGCTGATGAGGTAAAAAACGAAGACCCCAAAGTAGTAAAGATCTCACCGCGTGACTCCGGCTTAGGGAAACTAACAAATTCATAACTAAAAATTTCAGAGGAGTGACGAGAAGATACATCTGAGCTACTAAAATTGCACGTTTTATGAAGTCATGGTCATTGCATTACGTACACAGGATTTGAAATACTGCGTGGCTTCTGCTAAACCCTCTTTTTTTCACATTTAAAATCGTATTCAAAACTAAGTGGAGTTAAAAACAAAACCTTCAAACGTGTAAATGACTACACTCACCAAAAATAACAGCGTGAGGATAGTTCTGGGCATTTTAGTTTGTGTCATTACCAAACCGTTCGAGGAACGCCGCCGGGGAAAATATGGCCGGGTCGCAGGTTTTCGTATTTTTTAGCAGTGAAATATTCAAAATGGAGCTGGTATACCCACAAAAATCCATTAAAAAAAGGAAAACACGTCAAAAACACAGAAAAATATGAAAAGAAAACGGAGAACAACTATGAGGGTAATGAATTGATAGAAAAGGGGGTGGAACGAAGAGAAAAACTACAATTGTACCCGCACGTGACCAACTGTTTATATATTCACTGCATATCAAGCACAAGGTATTGCATTTTTTACTATAAAATGGAAAAGTGGACGGATTATAGATATACAACACCACTCGAAAGAATTGTGTGTACACTAGAGCAAGATAGTCACGAAGTTGTAGCAACGGAACAATATTATTTCTGAAAAAAAATTATTTCGCCCAAGGCGAATAAAGAAAATATCACCAACATTCGTGTCTGCTGGAATAAAATGCTTACGCGGCGCGTCCAGTTCGTACAGCACGCCGCGCGCCGCGCCGAGTCTGCTCTGACAGTGGTAGTGTGTTTATAGACTAGTGTATTTATAGACCGGCAGTGAACTCTGACACCGAGTGTTGATAAAACCACAGAGCACAATAGAGTCGCAATGAAGAAAAGCTGAACAGACTCTAGTTCCTTTCAGGCAATTTTTCACCGCCCCCACTTGCAAACTTGCCTGATGTGCGACGAGCGCCTGCGCTGTGGCTGTGGGACATTGTAATATGACCCGCTCTGGACCTGAGACGACTACGACTGGATCACCACGCCGTCATTTTTACAAACATTTTTTGAGCATTAAATTAGCATTTTCCATTTATGGAGTGTTATGCAGGGGCGGATTGGCAGGCGGGAATACCGGGAAAAATCCCGGTGGGCCGGTTGGTATTTTGGGCCGCTTTAAAATAAACTTATATTACTACCACTTTCTTTCTTTCTTTCTTAAAACTTAACCTTCCCTCTCAACCCTTTTGTACTTTCACTGACGTAACCTTGATTTCCATGTGAACACACAGAGGTGTAAATGGCCGTAGATGCTAAAGCATCGCTTTAAAATAAACTTATCTTACTACTACTACTACTACTACTAATTTCTTTCATTTTTTCTTTTTTTATCTCCATAGTCTAAAAGTATGTGGAGAAATGGGATAAAATCTTAGTGAACGGTCACTTTCTCATAAAATAGGGTGAGGCTCCACGGGCCTCCATTGTTCCCCGGGGCTGCTTTATGCTCCACGGTCGCAGCCAACTTTGCAAATATTTTGTGACTCTAATTGCGTATGTTCGCGCTTAAAAATGGCTTCTTGAGGCGCTAATTTTTCCAAATTTTTCCGGGGGAGGGCCCCCGGACCCCCCTTTCTCTGTGGAGTGTCCCCCCGACCCCCATTTGGTTTGTGGGCCGGTTTGGCTGTACATTTCCCGGTGACTTTTTTCGTCCCAGTCCGCCCCTGGCGTTATGAACGCTATTTCGTTTACGATAGTGAATAGAGAGTTCCAATAGGCACCGCAGGTGAAAATTTCGCAGTTTTGAATCGTGGAAGCCCCTCCTGCCCTCGTCGCCCGTCGCGGTTTAGAATCAATGTAATTATAAAAAATTAGCCTGGTATTACAAGTGGATCCTGACCTGAATATTAATGATTTATTCTTAGAGGCATTCAGCAACTTTGACGCTATTAATGTTTACTGATTTTTTGAAAATGTGAATACAATGAACAAAACATTTAGATTTTTATCCTATAATCAGAACGGATGTGAAAAACTTCAACATTTTGGTTTGCAACGAGAGGATCATCGTAGATAAGTGGGTTTGTGCCTCTGATGACTGTTGAGGAGATAATCTGTGAGCGAAGTTCCTTGAGGGCAAAACAGTCCACAATTCCGTGTTTGGCGGTGAGGGGCGATACATTTTAGAGGCTGCAGATGGGTTCATCTGCTTTGCACATAATGTAATTGTGGCTGAGGAAAGTATCACCACTCCTGAGAGGAGAACTTTGAACCTCGAATGCTCCTGTTTTGGTGCGCCTATGATATTTTCGGATATGGTTCAAGGGCTCTATAAAGACGATATTTTGTTCACTTGTGCGCCAAGCTTGCTCCCACGAGCTACTGATAAGTTCACAGGATACTTTTTAGCATTTGAATGAATTGATGATCAATGATGTTTTGCATGGAGCATGATCCGCTGGCATATTTCCCGAAATTCCAACCACCTAGCGCGACACAAAATAAAAAAAGAAAATAAAAAATAAAATAAAATAAAAGGAAAAAAATAAAAAACTGGGCCAGAGCCCAGACAAATGAAGCGAGGTGACCGTTTGCAAAACAAGAATGAGCAATATCATGGAGTAACATTGAAAGACGATGGCTAATATAGTTGCACTTCGCACTTCCTCCTTTCGCGACTTTGCAGACTCCCTGCCATACTTTATTTTTCCTTGTTAAAACTACTCAACGGTACTTCATTTAAAACTGTCTTAATTTTTCTTCTCCTTCATCAGAATATTTTGCACATATTTCGAGCTATTAAGTTAGCTTCTTCATCATTTAAAAAAATTGAAAAAATGAGTTTACAAATAGCAGAGAAAAATGCCCCGATTATTTTAACACGAGATCGAATAATCGCGCCAAACACAGCGCGGCCAGCAATAAACTCATATTAGCGCCTGCAAGACTGCAGGAATACTTCACGCATTGCGCCAAACAGCGCGGTCGGCTTCGCGCCTAAAAGACTGCATGAATACATCTTGCATTGCGCCTAACGCAATGCAGTCGGTCAGTTGGCCGTTGGCGTAAGCGCATATTAGCGCCTCCCAAAAACTGTAGAAATACTGTAACAATTGCGCGCACAGCACGGTGCGCGTTTTAATCAATCATTTTTTGTAGAGTAGTACCTAAGTTAAATGATTATGACAGGGGGAAGAATCATGATGCTATGCGTATATTGCGAGTTATTTACCTGCTTAGAATGGTAACATGCTTACGAGCTAAGCATGTTACTATTTTAAGTATGTAATGATTCTTCTCCCCGTTATAATAGCGCTTTAGTCGTTGGTATTTCTCGGTGTCACCCGCGGTGCGGTGGACAGTGTCAAATCAGTAAGTATACAACGTGAGCCTGGAATCCTTGAAGGATCGTGGAGATTTCCCTGCTCACCGTTAACTTTCCCATCATTAATTAATATCCCTCATTGCACCTAATCTACTGGTCCTTCGGACGAATGTGCCGAATTCAGAAAATCAGGATTTGCCAGTTTCAGTTGCAAATTTCATGCCCGACTTCGCCCATTGGCTCGTTCCACTATGAATCTTTGGGAATCTTGAAATTTTCAGACGTTTTAGATAAAATTACAAGCAAAATTACTTGAGAAATTGGAAGAAAAATATTCGAAAATTTTCTTGAAAATTAGTGATTTGTCAAAGGAAATTTGGCAACGCCTGAAGGCTCATACGGCGTTTTTCCTTAGCACGACAGAGTAGTTTTGTCACTTCCCGCGGCAAGTATCCTGTATAATCCTTGCCCCGACAAAGAACACCTATGAATTTATTACTCTCTGTACTATCTGTCTCTTTCATTCTACTTAGCTCTTACTTAGTTATTACTTACTTGATTTTCAGATCTCTGTGGCCGGCTCAAAACCATTATTAAGAACTATCCAGGGCTATGCGCTTACTGGGATGGAAACCAACCGCATATCATAACAGGAAATCGAGAGATTTTTAATGTAATAAGTTTTATATGAATGCTGTACTTGGTAACGAAGCCGAACATAAACGACCATCCTTCCTTCGTAAAACTTATCTGTAAACTGAAAAGCTTCATTTTCTCTAAAGTAATTCTTTTTAGTGCGTCGTCAAAAAACTATCCGTCCGAATGACAACCATTCAATGACTTTATTGTCAGTCCTCCAGTTTTTTCAAAGTACTCACTATTATACAGGGTGTTTCAGACCACCCGTACCAGGCCTTTTTCTCGGTTGGTTTAGGTCGTAGGAAGTCGGAGACCGCGGGGTTGAATAGGGAATTGACCCCAAGGAATCCGAATTTTGTGGTCCCGAAACCCCCCCCCACCCCCCCTTGGGCGGTAAAGGGGGGTCATGATGCTAAAAGTCACGGTTCCCGACCGAATTGCGGTTTGGTCGCATCAGAATTGAAAAGCACGGAAAATTTCACGTGGAATGGACCCCTAAAAATCCAAAATCGGACCATCCAAGGCCCAAAAATGATCCCCTGAAGAGGGGGACAGTACCCCCCTCCATAATTTCTCTTTGGTCTCAAAATTGACGTAATTTCTCCAGAAAAAGACGGTTTCCCAGGTAATCGACCTCGAAAAATCCAAATTTCGTGGTCCCGAAGCTCCTCCAGCCCCTCTTGGGAGGTAAACGGGGGGGCCCATGCCCAATTTTAAAAATCGGGGCTCCTTTCCGAATCGCAAATTGATTGCATCCAAATTGAGGAGCAGAACACATTTACATCTTAAGTGACTCCTGAGAGTTTTCTAATTGACCCCCCTGAACGGCAGAAAGTAATCCCCTGAGGAAGGGGGCCTCGCCCCCGCCAAAAATTTCTCAGAATTCCTCTTTGGTCGCAAAATTGACTTAGATTCTCCAGAAAAAGACGGTCTCCCATGTAATCGACCCCGAGGACTCTGAATTTCATGTTCCCTGAGCTCCTCGGGGTCGATTACATGGGAGACCGTCTTTTTCTGGAGAATCTAAGTCAATTTTGCGACCAAAGAGGAATTCTGAGAAATTTTTGGCGGGGGCGAGGCCCCCTTCCTCAGGGGATTACTTTCTGCCGTTCAGGGGGGTCAATTAGAACTCTTAGGAGTCACTTAAGATGTAAATGTGTTCTGCTCCTCAATTTGGATGCAATCAATTTGCAATTCGGAAAGGATAGCCCCGATTTTTAAAATTGGGCCCCCCCGTTTACCCCCCCAGGGGGACTGGAGGAGCTTCGGGACCACGAAATTTGGATTTCTCGAGGTCGATTACCTGAGAAACCGTCTTTTTCTGGAGAATTTACGTTAATTTTGAGACCAAAGAGAAATTATGGAGGGGGGTACTGTCCCCCTCTTTAGGGGATCATTTTTGGGCCTTGGATGGTCCGATTTTGGATTTTTAGGGGTCAATTCTACGTGAAATTTTCCGTGCTTTTCAATTCTGATGCGATCTAACCGCAATTCGGTCGGGAACCGTGACTTTTAGCATCGTGACCCCCCCTTTACCGCCCAAGGGGGGGTGGGGGGGGTTTTGGGACCACAAAATTCGGATTCCTTGGGGTCAATTCCCTATTCAACCCCGCGGTCTCCGACTTCGTACGACCTAAACCAACCGAGAAAAAGGCCTGGTACGGGTGGTCTGAAACATCCTGTATAGTACATATAATAGTATATATTTTAGTAGAAATACAGTATATATTTTTATTTAAAAGTTAATATCAATACTACCAAGATTATAAATGTGATATAGGTATTATACATCTTAATTACTCTATCTCGATTGCAGTGTTTTTAAATCTCACCTTTCTTTTTACGAGTATTTATTTTTTTTTATTAAGTAAAACAAATTAACATCATCCCTTGAAGTTTTCAAAGAACTTTTAATCGCAAAAAGAAGAAAAATAACGAAAGTTATGAAGAGTTAATGTTGAGTAGTTTTCCATTTATAAATTGAAGTATGACAACGTCGCAAACCGAGACACGTGGTTTGAGAATTTCGCCGTCGACATGTAAGTACTTAAATCGTAATTTTTTCTTGAATTTCAGGCAATTTTGAGTAGCTCTCAAAACACGGATAAATTTCGTCATTACGAACATTTCAAAGCAATCAGCAAGGGAATATTCTCGTCATCCGGTAAGAAAAGTTAAATGCGCAATTTTCTCTATTTTATCTGACTCTCGGTGAAAAAGAGGTAATATATATATTTTTTAAGTAATTGTTTTAGGATCTGATAACTTTCTTCCTAGGTTGGTAAAAATTATGATCTGAGAATTAACTAACTGCATAGGCGTAGCCAGGTCATTTTGCTGGGGGTCAATACCCTTTCAGCTTAGTGGGGGGTCCGGGGGGCCTTCCCCGGAAAATTTTTGAAATTGTAACTCTATTTGAGCGCATCTCGAGGCACTTGTGGCGCTAATCTTCCTTCAATTTCTGCCTAACAATCACCCAGTTTTATGCATTTTAAGGTTAAAATACTTTGACATTGTTCTATTCAACAGGCTATTCTATTTATAGGCATCCTCTCACGGGCCACGGCGACAGAGACTTACCGTTGAAGAAGGTGTTTTTGCACCATCCAGAATTTCTGGGGGGGGGAAGATGATATTATTTCCAATTCTGGGGGGGCAGGCCCCCCTGCCCCCCCTTCCTACGCCTCTGGCCAACTGCCGTCATTATGATTCCATCTAATTTGGTAAAAATGCTGTAGGTACACATAATTCTTCCGGCACGTTCTCATATAGAGATGCACTACAATGAAGCAAGTTTTTCTGGTAGATCTTATTGTCTCTGTGGACTTGGCTCTCAACAGCATAAATCTAACCTATTCAGGTCACAGGTCCGAAAACAGCGCAAACATCAAACGATCATGAGTTTAACACTATGAATATTAAAGCTGGCATATCAACACAAAAAATAGCCACCCTTGGTCATTCCTGGTTTTTCCCGGAAAAAATAGTTATTTTTTAAAAATCAATCAATTATAATCCAACAGTAAAGTATGATATGAGTGCATCATCTGCAATCAAGATTTGATGTTTGGTGGTTTCGCCAATGTGGTATTTGACCATAGTTAAAATAGTCAGGCCCGGGACTTAGGGCGTGTGCAGGGCGTGCGGCGCAAACGGGCGCCAGCCTTTGGGGGGCGCCACGAAAGAAGAAGAGAGGGAAAAAAGGGGGGAAAAGGAGAAGGAAAAAAAGGGAAGAAAGGACAAGGGGAAAAAAGGAAAAGGAAACAAGGTTGGGCAGTGAAAGCAAGGAAGAAGGGGAGAAATGGAAGGAAAAAGGAGGCAAGAAAAGTGAAAAGAGAGTCCGCGAGAAAGGGGGGGGGCATAAAAACCATAGACAAAATATAAAGAGAATTGCCGTCTAAAGGTAAATTTTCAGGACAAAAACTCCACCTGGTCCATAGACGGTCAGGCGCCCCTTGACCCTAAATTTGCACAGAAATACAAGAGTAGGCATGTAGTAAGGGGGCGCCATAAATCCATCGAACAGGAGCCGACATAGCATCATAGGCGTAGCTAGGCCATTTTGCTGGGGGGGGCCTGGCCCCCCACCACCGGGGGGTCTGGGGGGTATGGAATACCCCCCAGGTCAGTGGGGGGTCCGGGGGGCCTCCCCCGGAAAATTTTTGAAATTTTAACTCTATTTGAGCGCATCTCGAGGCACTTGTGGCGTTAATCTTCCTTCAATTTCTGCATAAAATTCACCCAGTTTTATGCATTTTAAGGTTAAAATACTTTGAAATTGTTGCATTCAACAGGTTATTCCATTTATTTTCTCACTTTTAACCACTCATTTGTGTGAAAATTGCGAAATAAATGTTTAGTGAATGCCAGAATCATTGTTCTGTATTAGGAAAAGCCCATGCAAAGTAAAATATAATATAATGAGCAAGACGTAACTATGACCAACTAAGTGTTTTTGCACCATCCAGAATTTCTGGGGGGGGCCAGATGATACTATTTCCAATTTTGGGGGGGCCAGGCCCCCCCTGGCCCCCCCCTTCCTACGCCACTGCATAGCATTTTAGGCCACGTCCGCCATCTTGGATTTGAGAATTTTTAAACATAGTAAAAATTCGAGTTTCCAGTCGAAAAATACCCTCAGACACCGAGTTTCAAAAAAATCCATCGAACAGGAGCAGACATAGCATTTTAGGCCACGTTCGCCATCTTGGATTTGAGATATTTCAAAAATGGACTAAAAATTCGAGTTTCCCGTCGAAAAATACCGTGCGGTATCGCGTTTCACAAGACTCGAACAAACAGAAACCGAGATAGCATTTTAGCCCACGTCCGCCATCTTGAATTTAAGAATTTTAAAAAATGGACTAAACATTCGAGTTTCCCGTCGAAAAATACCTCCTGACACTGAATTTCAGAAAAATCCACCGAACGGGGGCCGAGGTAGCATTTTAAGCCATTTCGGATTTTCGAATTTCGAATTTTTTGAATTTTGACAGATTTTGATTTAAAACGCGTGATCCCTAAAATCTAAGCTCAGATTCGGATTCCTCGTAAAAAATCGAAGCGATTTCATGTGTCATACCCTGACACCAAATTTCAGGAGAATCCATCGAACAGGAGCCGAGATGGCATTTTAAGCCACTTCAGTTATTTCGGATTTTTGAAGTTGAACAATTTTACTTAAAACGCGTGATACCCAAAATCGAAGTTCAGATTCGGATTCCTCGTTAAAAATTGATATAATTTCATGTATCATACCCGAGCATAGCGTGAAGGAAAGAGACGTAACGTAGACATACTGATTCGAGCATATGAATTCAACGTGGCAACATGGGTAGTGCTCAGTGGGTCAGCGGAGGAGGAAGAATAAGAATTTATCGTGAGGAATTCCTCGGGACGAAACCGAACACTTTGAGGCGCGCCGGCCGGCGCTAACACGTTCGCTTGCATCTCGGGCGACCAGCGCGGCGGCGTAGTTCAAAGGGGCTGTATGACAGAATCTATACGCGTCGTTAAACCTTTTTTTTTCACGCTATTTTAACATTTGATACATGAAATCTCATAAATTTTTCACGAGGAATCCGAATCTGAGCTTAGATTTTCGATATTACGCGTTTTAATCTATTTAAAATCGTAGGAGACATTACAGAATTGTCCTTGAAAATTTATCACACATTAGTGTTTTTTTACGTCATTAAACCTCTTTCCTTCACGCTATTCTAACATATGATGCATAAAATCTCATCAATTTTTCACAAGGAATCCGAATCTGAGCTTAGATTTTCGATATTACGCGTTTGAATCTATTTAAAATCGTAGGAGAAATCGAACGATTTTATCAGATAGGTAAGCTGTGCGGTCCTAGTTTCCGGGCAATTGCGGTTTGATGGAAGCCGCGATGAGGAAAAACGGAAGATATGCGATCAAACTCGGGCGGATATTAAGTGAGAAACCATGTAGGGGAAAGGCTTTCTTCCCGAAAATTTAGTGCTCAGGCCAACTTACATGATCACTGGAGCATTGTATAGCAGGTTGTGGGAAACTATTTTTTTGCAGCAACAACCAATTGGATCGCATTTTGCAAAAAGGAATACTAAGAGCATTTCAATGTTGCTGGGATTGTGCAACTTAGGTACATTTTTTGCAAAAAGTAAACTTTGCGACGGTAATTTTCGTCTTGAATTCATAGTTTATTGGGAGTAGAGGTGAAACTAGTTTAGATGATCGTTTATGTTTGCAAGGTTAGCGACATTGGAATGCTCTTGAAATAGTGCCAAAAAATGTCAAACCTAGCACGATTTTTGAAATCCTACAGGAGACATGAATGTGTTCTACGAATAAAGTAACCCGTTTCATACTCTTATAACTCTTTCAAAGCCAAAGGTCGCCAGGAATTACGATTAGATTAATTTTTCAGAGCTCAGGCTTAAGGGCGTCGCTTCGCTAATATATTTAGAGAAATTTTTAATTGTGCTTCCCAATAAATTGATAAGTTTAAAACAGTGAGTGTTCAAGCTCCACGATTATTTTACTCACACAGGACAAGAATGGCGAGCAATGAGAAAGATGATCAATCCCAGTTTCCGAGCAAACGTTTTGACGTCGTTTGACGAAAATTTTCGATACCATACAAATATTTTTGTGAACCTACTGAGGAGACACGAAAATAGTGGACCGTTCGACATATTTCTTCCTGTGCATTTATGTACTATTGATCTTATCTTTGGTAAGTTTCTTCATCTACCTACCCTTTCATGTCTTTAATAGGGTCATCTAGAGATTAAGTCTTCTATAGATGCTCTCGCAAACCGTTAATGCTAGAGTAAAACCAAATTGGATCCAATAAACTGCCAGCTTCGATAATTAGAGTGTTCGTTTTTTAAATTGGTCAACCGAAATACTCTGGAGAGCAATTTTCTTTGGCGGCCACCATTGCTCTTGCAACCGAGAGCCTCCTTGATTTTGGAAGACATTCCAGATCTTACTCTCATATATTTTTCTCTATTCCAAAATTAACGAAAGATCTTGGTTTATTGCGGACGGACCGTCGCACAGTGAATCGAGTCAATATGAGAGCTCGGTTAAAATTTCGAAACTTCAAACTCATATAACTCCGTTTAAATAAAACTTTGAGATATTAAAAGTGGTTCTATTGGTTTTCTCGTGAAATTTACTTCCAGAGACACCCATTAAAATTTAAAATGTGACGAAATAAATATCAAAATTTGCAGTTTTACTCAAAAATTTCATGTCCGACCTCTCCAATTGACTCAATCCACTGTGCGTCGCGTTGTTTAGACGAGTTACTTGACTGATAGACAAAGATAGTAACTCCTAAGCGCATGCAATTATTCGTGCTCGATGGAATACCGTGTTGCATACACAACAATTTTAAGGCGTTTTGAATTCCCTCATCTCATGGCACAGCGCGTGTCGTGTTTTTGAGAGTCGTTGACAGTGGCGATTTTTGCAAATTGGCATCACTGTTTTTTCTTCATTTAAATGTATGTTCAACTATGATTCTTGTTGAGGCAATTTTTCTCACCTATAATCGATAATTTTAATGGATTTAAATGGAAGAAAAACACTATCGTAAACTTGCAAAATCGCCACTGGTTGCTGGTGTAGAATCATTCTACAAATTGCGGCAAAAAAGTAAGGAATAAAGGGAAGGAAAAGCGAGTCTTAGGTAAAAAAGTTGACCGGTGAATTGTATGCATGCATTCTTAGTTATTCCACTTGGATTCAATGTTTATATAGATGAATAAATTATAGTATTTTGATTGATTACATGCAGACAACATGATGGAGAGCCGCGTGGATGTTCAAAAAAATAACTTTACATATCTATCGTCAAATTTAATTGCGATCTCGGAAATGGTCTTTGAGAGAGCATTTGCCCCGCTTTTGTGGCCGGATTGGATCTACAGGCTGTCAGGAATGCAAAACTTGTTTGACAAACTGCTTGGCGAGGAGAAAAGTTTTCTGCAAGAGGTGAGTTAAGTATCAAAAATCAATATCTTTCATGCTAATAATGAATTATTCCGTGTACTTAACTTCATTATGTTAGATATAGTTTTTTATACATACATCATAGATTTTACAGACTTCTTAAAAATTTCGCGGAAAGCTGCGCTTTAATCATGCCCCATGCAGAAAACATCCGTTTTTGAATTTCATACAAAATTGACACATTCTGTAACGTAAATTCGGAGACAGGCTTCAGGGAGAAATTCAAGGAGTAACGGATGTGAAAAATTCTCTACGTTTAGTTGCAGACTTGAAAATTTTAAAAATAGGTACCCGATTGCATCAATTAAAACTAAAAGATAGGATTTAAGTAGGCTTTGGCTGAGGAAGACTTGTCTCTCAGATTCTACCCTCTCAAATGTTCGATTGTTCGGTGTTCTTATTGAATACAGACTACATATTTAGACTCTCGTTCCTTATAAGATTTAAATAAAAAAATGAGGTTAATTTATTACAATTAATTGAATTTGGTTACAGATGTTGGAAAGGCGGATAGTCACCAGAGAGGCGGAGAAATTGTGTTTTCCACACGGTAAGTATGAAGCTAATATAGCTTTATCTAGCTAATTGAATTAAAATTAAATTACAAATGAAGATATTTGATTGGTTTGATGGTGGAAGAGCCGGTGTAAGCATAGGCGTCGGTTGATGGGTTTTTTCACTAATTTCAGAAATTTCAATTTCAGCAGCATATAGCTAACTTTAATTAGAAAATGCGAATTTCAGTCGGAACTTTACAAAATCTCCATTTGGGTTTTATTGTTACTCTTGTAGGAGAACTGACCTACAATAGTACTCGTCGATTGACTGACAAAATTGCGTAATTGTGCAGTCAGAGATGAGACCTAAAAAGCATTGAGGTTTATGGACGGCAGGGTTCACGGTGAAATATAGTTATGCCCATATGTCCACGCCCACTTGCTAATACAAAAAGAATCCCATGTTGTTGAACCTTTATGGTCCTTTCTTTGACCATCTGAAAATTCTCATTATTTTCGCTCCTGTCGCTTATTTGATACTTTACATATTATGACACGTAAGATGGAGCAATTAAAATTCTGATGATTCACCAATCAATATTATCATCCAAAGAGTTCAACTAATAGTTCTTGCTCTTCTCTAGAAAAATTGCAAACATTCATTGAAATAATGCTAAGAAACCTGGACTCGGGATCCATTTCCAAGGATCGAGTACTCTCGGAAATGACAGAGATGTTTATAGCTGTAAGTATGCTTTGTGAATATTTTGTTTACTTGATAATTCAGAGTCCCTCATATTTTTTTCTGTTTGTAATGAGAGCACGCGTTTCAAAGAGAAACAAGCAATTTTTGTTTATCTATGAACATAGAAAAAAAATCGTCAATTTTGTGCGTTTGAGCGTCGAAAATCTATGCCTGCTTATGTTCTACGACACAAAGCTGAGAGAATGTTTCTACTCGCCTTTCCTATAGGGTCGTGCAATAATATGATTGCATTGATTTCCGCATCGTAACTAATAATATTTTTCTTTATTTTTTTTTTTAAATTGGCTCTTATAAAGCCGTATTATGTTGGCCTATAATACCGAGAATCATTACTCAAGTTAGGTATATCTGCAACTCCCTTGCATGGAAGATACAGGAAGGGTAGTCTTCTTTAAGCAAACATGGCATTTATGATAACACAAAAATTTGGATAATATCTCACTATCAGTGGTTTATTGCGCGACGCTAGCTTCCGCAGTGCGAGTTAGCCAGAAAGTTATTCCTGTAAAGGCTGAAGGATCATTTAATCTTATCGAAAACCGATGATATTGAATGGTCGCATACTGTCATAACTCTTCAAGCACCACTCTTTCATTACATTACAATCAGAATTGGACTACATTTTGCAATTCGGAACTATAATTTCTAGCTCATCTGTAAAAACACGTATGTGCATAAAGAAACTGAAAGTACATGCGTTGTTTCTAAACTGAGCCAGAAATTATAGTTCCTAATTGCAAAACGTTATTGTCCAATTGAAGATAGCGTACTATACCCAAAAAAATTCAACCTATTTCATGTTAAGATTTGAATGCTCACAAGGCCCTTAATTAATTATAATCATGTCTTTTTTTCGATGACACAAGGGTTCAATCAGCACCGCTATAACAAACGCATGGGTATTTAAAATGCTTGCTATGTTCCCTGCGATTCAAGATAAAGCGTACCAGGAAATTATAGAAAATTGCGATGGGACTGAGGTGACACCTGAAAACCTATCAAATCTCTTTTACTTAGAAATGATCATTAAAGAAACGCTCAGACATTTCACGATTCCTGTGATGGGACGGAGAATTACGGAGGATCTTCAGGTCAATGGTACGTACAATATTTTTGCTAACATTTGCCCAAAAAAGTCGAGGAGAACCCCAGTGCCTGGTGTTGAGTCAAAAAGGCCAAAAAAATGCATTGCTCTTGCCCGCGGCGCACAGTAGATCGTGTCAATTGGAGAGGTCGGACATAAAATTTTTGACATGAACTGCAAATTTTGATGTTTATTTCGTCACGTTTTCAAGTTCAAGGGGTGCTGCTAGAAGAAAATTTCACGAAGAACCCAATGGAACCACATTCAGAATCTCTAAGTTTTGTATAAACGGAGTTATAAGTTTCCATCACATTTTGTCCGACCTCTACAATGGACTCGATCCACTGTGCGGCGGTTACTAAATTCAGATGCTGCTTCAGGGAATTGTTATGTTTTTTAAGTATCAGCATTTGCTCTTTTAAGAATTAAAAGACTGAACGTGTGATTACGTACATGGTAGAGACCTGGCTTGCTGACTCACTGATTTCAAAACTGCTCAAAATATCTGTAATCTTATTTTTTCGCAGAAGAACTTATCATTCCTGCAGGAATACAAGTTTTTTTGTGCACGTACGCGCTTCACCACGAAACTATCTATTGGCAAAAACCAGGAGAGTTCTACCCAGAACATTTTTCATCGGAAAATGAAGCAAATAGGCCTAAAGGAGCATTCGTGCCGTTCTTGAGCGGGCCTCGAGGATGTCCAGGTGCGTCTAAAAAGAATTTAAGAAGCATTTGCCGAAAAAAAATTGTAATACGTTTTTGAGATAAATGTTTTACATAGACGTAAATCCCGGTTAAAAAGTTATCAATCTGATTCGATCATGTGTCATTTTCCGAAAACACATATGGATTAAAAACAGAAAATCGGCATATAATCATCAATTACATTCTGAGTCATATCGATATAATTGCAATTCGTTTCAAATTAGGGCTGATTTTGTGCGATATATATGATTTACTCTCCTTGGGTTATTGGGATAAGTGATATGTAACGATTATCTGATTTGGTAAAGTGTCAAATTTTTATCGAAATCTCTAGCTGCTGGAACAATTCCAATTATGGGAGGATGCAATTACAATTCATGGCAAATTCATTTTTCTTCAATGCTACTTAGAATGAGGCGATAATTGACCGATGATTTTTCTATATCCAGCTGAATCTTACTTTTCAACGTGGTTTTGAAGGTTAACTTTACTTGTCAATTACAAACCTGAAAAGGGCAACATCGCGGATATTTCTGAGATGAAGTCGCCAAGAGCCGGACTTTACTCGATCCGAGATTAATTCAAAGACGATTAATTTTTTTTCTGTAATAAACGTGTTCAACTTCCCTTCGTTGTTGAAGTGTCCGTTAATATGACAGTTTAATGTTTTCGGTACATATCTGAGGTTTTAATTACTTTTTTATAGGCCACCATTATGCAATGAAGTCCATAAAGTTCATCGTTGCGAATACGATTTTGAAGTACCACTTTTCAACGGATGAAAAACCCCCGGAGGATATGAGAGATTTAGACTACCGCTTGGTGTTCATGATTTGGCCAGCCACAGGATTTGAAGTCAAAATCAAAAGAAGGTGATGTTACCCCATCAAATTCTTATGAATGAATTCTTGCAGTCGCCTCCGCGTCAGATCCATCCTTTCGCATCAAGATTCATCAGTTTGTCACATAGGTACATTTTTCAGTGTATAAAAATGATTAGTTCATTTACCTCGCTGGGTCTATTTTTATATTCCATGCGATTTTATAATATATCTTGAGTTACTTCACAAGTATGAGGTAAAATATTCCAGTTGATAAGTGGATAAGATGTTCACGATGAGGGGCTAATTTTTGTAAAAGCACAGTCTTTGTGCTAAACTTTAAAACTAATAACTTGTATATTACAATTGTTGAATATTTAATAGTCTTTCGTGATGTACTACTCAAAGAAAGACAAGCATTTTCCCGCAAAGCTAACTTACGATCCCTGTTTCCGGCGTCAATAAATCTTCAGGCCGCCATTTAACTTCAATATGTGGCGAAGTAACCCTATTAATTAAATCGATCAGCAGCCGTGTTGTCAAGAGAGGTAGAAAAACAAAATATTTTATATTAAATTGCTAGAGGCGCAGTGCTGTCTTTTAAAAAAGTGATAGTCGAACTGAACCGATTGACTTGGCGCATTTTGAAATATGTCATCATTCACAAAACATTGGGTTTTACTTACAAGTTTTTTGTTTTTAATTTTCTCCTTCCTTTATTGTGTGTGTTTTTTCAAATATGTAGTAGCCTGTCTTGTCCTAAAGGTCCTTGCCGTAGTATTGAGCCCTATTATTTTGATCGGTTCCTAATGTCCAACACACTTTTCTTAAAAAGCAACACCACCTCGTCATCTGAACACTTAAATAGCGGGAAAAATGAAGGCAATAAAACATATCGATGCCCAAAGTGTGGGATCACGTATCTTCGTTTGCAACGTCGCAGACTTTTCGTTATAGTTTATTTTTTCTTTGGAAAACTAGTCAACGTAATTTCTCGGAAAATCTCATGGTTTTCATGCTCTGAAAGCAGAATTTTCCGTGTAAGTTGCAAGGTATAAAGTTAACTTGGTTTTTCTTCAAAAAAGTGAAATTCTGGCCATCGATGTACGTTACTCTCAAATATCTGAAATCAGTGGCGAGGCGTAAATGGTCAATTATCGATATTTCCCCATTTGAGCTGTGGTAAAAAATCGATTATTAGGGTGTTCACTGCGAGCACTCTAATATAGTCGATCCTTTTCCAACGATTTAAATGGTAGATCAATCGATATATCGCAACGCACGCCACGCCACTGCAATTTCACATCGTACCGTCATTGTGGTCCCAGGTTTGAAAACATTTCATGAGCGGAAGTAGAAGTTCATCTCAGGGGGACCATCGTGTTTTTTTTTTGTGTGTGTGTGTGTTTTTTTATTTTGAAAGAAACACATCTGTGAAATCAAACAAACACAGAGCTTGCTTATTTAGGATCTCTATTGCATTCTAAAGGAATAAGTAGGCGTGCAGAACACAATTTCACTGCGCAGATCTCTTGACTTTAAACGTAAAATAATGAGACATTTTCCGGATTTTGTCAGACAGGAATTCCCTGTTATTGATTTCCGTGTGTACATAGGTATTATTTACAAATGCGACTACACACGCTGAACAAAGCGCGAATTTTAATCGCGGAAGAACGGGCTTGTACTCGCATAATCGCGATGATGTCTTGACATGCTCCCGTTTCATGATGAGGCTGTTGAAAGGTGACAACTCCGCATCGAAGCGTGCGCCTCGCGTTTAGCGGCACACGATGTCTTGACAGGGCAGCGCTGCATAAAAGACAGGGACAGGTTCGCCTTGGAATAAATCGATGTATTTTTTTTCTACGGTTCTGTCCACTGTTTCTACCGTTACACCTGGTTAGCTTAGCTTATGCTAAGCTTACGCCTGTGCCGCGTTACAGCCAGACTCTTTTACGCCTGCTGAAGCACCGCTCAGCTGAAACATCACAGAACTGACTATTACGTTCTCTCCGGTACTTACTTGGTTAACACAAACTGATGACGGTAAACGCACGGGTCGTAAGACGGGATGTTGGAGTTTTGATAGAAATACATCCAATTGTACTTGTGTGTGAGCTTTTTCCCTCTGTAATGAGATATCAGCTTTAAGCTGAACTTTTTACGCACGTTGGCTAAAAACTCAAACATCCCGTCTCACTTGGTTATGGTAATATTGAAAGAAGCACTTGATATCGATTAGATCACTCACTTTTTTGCAGTTCCTAGGATTCAATCATTCAACAGTATTCAGCCATGTATGAAATTAACTCGTCCAGTGAATCCTATTTCCATCGTTAGGCCGCCTTTCAAAGTAAAGTAGGTATAGCGATTAAAAATGGTTGCTTTGAGAGCAATGATAGAATTACTGTTTGTGTGGAGAGCGGATGGATTTTCTCTTTCTCTGTTTGGTCAGCTCTTGCACTAAGTCGAATCAAAATTAGTTGAGAATATTATTAGAGCAAAAGATCATCAAAACCACTTGACTTCTACTTCACTGGATGTGTGAAACGTCCGAAATTCAGACCTCAGAACGAAAATCACCAGGTCCAACCCGGTTTCAGGCAAAATAGCCGATGTTTCAGGCATAATAGCCGATGTTTCAGGCTCAAAAACCGGTATGCTCCGGATATAGAAGCAGAAGCTCCTCCTGAACCCGGAACGAAGATGATATGTTCCTAAGGACCCGCCATGATTGCATCTCTCATAATCAAAGCGTTTGCTCAGTGCACCTGATCACTTCATTATATTGACTTCATTTTGAAATGAGGAACTACATTTCTGGCCCATTTTAGAAACACAATATGTGCCTTTACTTTCCTTGCACAAATGTGCGCTCATACAAAGCCAGAAATTGTAGTTCCTTATTGAAAAATGCAGTCCGTTTATCACAAAATTAATGTACTTGAGAGACTTTAACGCGCGGGTAGAAAAGAAGGCGGGATTTGCTCAGCGTTCTTTGGCTATTTTCGAAGACTGCATAAAGCATTAGGTATTATGCTGAGAAAACTTTGGCCCAAGCAACCCAGAGTTCACTTGAAGTTCAAAAATGTTGACAGGTGTTTTCAAAAGCCAACTAAAAAGTATCGGGAAATTACAGTATGTGCTTATTCTGACGCATCCTTTTTTTTATTTTCACTAAACTAACTCTGTTTTTAGATTGAACGGATGTAAAAGTTTGAGTACCAGTGACGTGGCGTGCTTTGCGATAAATCGATTGGTCTGCCACTTAAAATTCTGGAAAAGGTATCGAAAAACAGGAGTTTCGCAATGAATACTATAGTAATCGATTTCCACAACCAAATGGGGAACTATCGATAATTGATCATTCACGCCTCGCCATTGCTGAACACCCTACTTGCTTTCACATCGTTTATAATCTCCACCTGCTTACTTCTTTACAGGAAAAATAAATATCAATATAACACCTCAAAATCTCCGTTAATTCTTCCCAAAGTTGGAAGTATATGGTAGCAAAATTAAAAGGCAGAGTTTTTTTTATTGGAAAAAAAATTAGAAGAAATTAGGCAGCATCTAATATATTTAAGCTGACTCCAGTCATAGTTCTAGAAAAATTCATCAATGGTCCTGCACAAAAGGTTCGCAAAAGGCCACTGAACCAGGTTGGAATAAGAGCGCCAAATTAAATGTCCCCCCTTTTTTAAGTTTAACCCGGGAAACAATTCACACGACGGAAAATTCGGATATCTTCTCAGCGAAGTACTAACATGAACATGTAACACTTAGCAAATGGAACGCAAATTTCACAAATTATGTAATTTTATCTGTTTTATTTTTGGCTGTTTAATCATGTTAATTATATGTACTCATGAGTCAGTCTGGGGAGTTAATTTGAGAGCATCCCCGCGAAAGAATCATTTTCTAATTCAAATTTTGAGGAAACATTCAACGGAGTGCTTATAGTGGTAATTCTCACAAGAAGGCAACACTGTTTTTTCTCCTTTCAAATGCATGTTAAACAATCGATTCTAGGTGAGGCAACTTTCCTCACCTAGAATCGATATCTTTTATTATTTAAATGAAGTATTAACAGCAGTGGCGTTGCGTGAATGATCGATTATCAATATTTCCCCATTTGAAGCTATGATAAAGAGTCGATTATTAAGGTGTTCGTTGCAAACACCCTGTATATCGATCCTTTTCCATAAGTTTAAATGGCAGATCAATCGATACATCGCAAGGCACGCCATGCCAGATTAACGGTATTGCCAACTTGCTGGAATTGCCAATGGGCTTGCTTAAGCTCTTTCCTTGTCAAGAGCCCTCTATATTGGTATATTGTAAAGAAATGAATTTTTCAGAGCGCATTTTTGAAAGCAATATCAAAAGAATTTTCGGTGGAGGTAAATGAAGGGTAAAAAATAAAATGATCATTTTAAAATGCAGTGAAATGTGAGTATTTTGAGCTCAATATGACACCGGGGTGTCTAATGCCCTGGAGTCGATTACATGAAGAACAGTGCTGCAATGATGAATACATTATAGACACTTTATGCTCACTAGCCAGCCACCAGCTGACATTCAAAAACCACGGGCAGATGGTTCCAAGTGGAAGCAGCTACAAAACCAGTAATCCGTATTAATCCGTGCCCAGTTTATGACTTAGTGACCTGACAGACAATGACATTAACCTATCACAAATCAAAGCGCTCTTTCGACACACATCTTGATGACCGCGGTACAAGCCCGAGCTGAGTATGCACTTTGACGCACTATAACTAATGCAATGTAGGAAAACCATTAATGAATTTACAAAGGGCAGTTAAGAGTAATGTCGACGTGTTCACACTTTTGGAAACAAAAGACATTTTGGCAAAAACTACAAAAAAAATCCCGAAAGTAGACGTCCTTGATTTCTTAACGGTCCATCAGGCTGAAAAATTGCAATTTATGAATTTACAAGGTTGCCGAACGCCTGAGTATGTTTCGCAGACGTATGAGAGGGGAATGTTGCTGTTTATAAGGCATACATCGTGAGGCTTCATATGCAACATATTTTGGATATTTCATTACATTTCAGCGCAATTCAAAGGTTAAACAGTTCACCTTAACCACGGTAGAAGCTGCTTTGACTGATTGATTATTGCAAAATCAGGGAGTCGAGATTTAGTCATATTTCAAACATTATTCAAAAATTGCATAAATTTTTAATGCGAAATCAAAATAATTTACAATCAACCTACATGCTAGGACACATGCTCCTAGAAATAATTTGTTCTGAAGAGTTAATGCAATTGAAAAAGAGCCTGTAGCGTGTTAATGTCAGCTGTCTTATTGATAATACTGCCATTTCAATCAAAAGAGACGTAGACGTTAATTGTATTTCTTCAGTTTTTCACCTTTTCGAACATTTTTTTTTGCCTGAGAGAGCGCCCTTCTTACACGAGTTTTCATATTTTTTCACTGTAATACTCAGAAATCTATTTACTCCAAAGTCATTACTAAACAGAGTGCCAGATCGTGACCCCTTTGGCGGAAGGGTGTATCTCGATTTCCGCATGAGCCCCAGAGAGCATGGATTCGTGTGTAAAATAGGGTCACGTGGAAATTTAGATACGCCCTAACGCAAGAGGGGCGACGAGATGACCGGGGTAATCGGAGCAATCCTCACCAAGTCGAGGAACGTGAATCAAATCGAACATTTTTGCAACCTATTCTGCGATGCTGAGGAAAAACGCCGTATAAACCTTCAGGCGGCGCAAAATTTCGATTGATAACACACAAATTTCCCTGCTAACTTATGATTATTTCCCTTCCAATTTTTCAAATAATGTTGCCCGCAATTTCAACTAACGTTCCTGCAAATTCAAAGCGAAAATATTCGTAACTTTTCTCAAAAATAAACATTTTACTGAAGAAAATGTAGCAACTCTTGAATGTTCATACAGCATTCTTCCTTAGCACGGCAGTGTTCGATCCCCTTTCTTCATCAAGAAAGTCGAGTGGGCGAACGGTAAAATGGACGTACCTCTTCCAAACGGAACTATGTGCATTATGACGTGAGCCCTGAGACCCATAATACTATATGCATTACAGGGCTCACGTCATGCACAAAGTTCCCGTTTGGCAGAAATACGTCCAAAAATAATTCTTAGCCTTCGGCGGCGCGACGCGGCGTGTGCGGTGGCATTGAGATTTTTTTGCGAGTTCGATCATTGTCGCCCGAATTAGGAAACTCTGCAATTAACTGACAATATTGCTGTCCGTTTATTGCTCACATCCTGACATGTATCAACATAATGTTGGGTAATCGTTGCGTTTCCTCTTTCTAGAATCAGAATATCTTTCTAAACTTGCAACAATGCAGCCTAGCTCAATGAAGCGGTGGCAATGATCGTCTGACCTCTAAATAATGACTCCTTGCGAATTGTTTGGTGTAACATGATTTCCCGCCGTTTCCCCCTTCTCAAGCGCTAATTTTTATTGTTTCATCGTTTTCACTCCGTAATTAAAATCGCCCCTGTTTCCACGTTTGTCAAAGAGGCAGTGCCGCTATACGTAGACACATGTCTTTCGTGTCTACTGATTCATTCTGCGTCAGAACAGCAAATCGATAATAATAGGATTCTCGGGCGTGCAATTATGAAATAGTGGAGGGATTGCCTTTCATTAAAATCGAACGATTATGTTTCAAAAAGCTTTAGTATACTTGATGCAGTGAAATCGGAAAATAGTGTGGATCTCATCATATTAAGTTGCACATTTTTTTTCATTTGAAATTCCTCATCAACAAAAACACTTAGAAAAACAAGAAAATAAGGATTTGAAGTGCTCCAAGCCAATCTCTTGGTTGTTGGTTTCTTACATATTACACGTCTCGATGTTTTCGCAATACCTTCCCACCTAATCTCTCTCAACCAGCTGCATGTAAAGTCACGCATGCATACTCAAATGATAGATTCAGAGATACGATGTGATTTTCTATTAACTAAACATTACAGAGATCACTTTTTTCAGCGTTTAATTTCTGGTAATTATTTAAAAGCTAAACAAGAACTATTTACTGAGGTTTTTGTTTAACTTATTTAAAAAGATAAATGAATAACCAATTTAATTAAAATGAAAGGAAAATATTATGCCTAGTATACGCACAAATGGACTACATTTTGCAATCAGGAACTACAACGTTTGGCTCGTCTGTGAAACACTTATATGCGTTGGGAAACTAATGATACGTACGTTCTTTCTAAGCTGAGCGAGAAATTGTAGTTCCCAACTTCAAAATGTAGGTTTAATATCCTTATCCCTCTCACTCCTTTCTTTTACATGCCAATCAGATTTCATCAATATTTTTTTGTAATATCCAGAGCCAATATAATATAAAAATCAACGATGACTGCAAGGGGGGGGGGGGGTTCTTCTTCATACCCAACTTACCTATCAAGGATGAAGTCATGATCACAATAATTTTCTGCTGACAAGAAAACTAATCAATGCTGAGATTACGCGATTACTCCTCGGGTCATGGAGTGCCCCCTCCATTGAGAGTTTCATTCACAAGCATATCGTCGTGGCTTGTGCGTACTATAGGCGCACAGTGGATCGAGTCAATCAAGCAGGCTGGACATGAGTTTCTTGACTAAAACTGCACATTTTGATGTTTATTTCATCACATTTTAAATTTCAAGGGGTGCTTTTAAAAGAAAATTTTACGAAAAAACCGTTTGAACCACGTTTAGAACCAAAAATTTTTGTATAAATGGAGCTATGAGCTTTTAAAGTTTCCCAATTTTGTCCGACCTCTCCTACTAACTCGATCCACTGTGAGGCGTTTCCACCACCTGCTTCGATTGATTCACACCTGAGCCATCCGCCCTGACTTACAATCAGTGATTAGTCCAAGTGGGTTGTGTGTTTATAGTGTTTCAGAAGTTCACCGGACTCGTTTCACGACCAGTCCCTCGCGCTTGTCGTCGCCGTCATTTTTATTTGTGTTAGTGTTTTTATTACCGTCCGATCCAAGTAAGTATCAAATTCTTACTCGAATTTTATGCTCCTTTTGGTTTAACTGTGTCTCGGTTGGCTATTCATTTTCTTTCACATTTTTTCCTTTAGGCCTGATTCAATGGTTTATTTATCTACAAAGTTTTGATATATATAAAAAAAGTAAAATAATTTTTAATAAACCTTCATAACTAATTTATACACACTATAAACCACTACTAAAATTTTTTTCTTATTCACAAGAATCTAAAAATTACTCAGAATATAATTTATTTTTATTTTTTTTTTTTTACTTTTTACGAAGTTTTTCATGAGTAAAATTGGTGATGCTGGAATAATTGATTTTGATGATAAGGTATTTCAAAATCTAGCAGTAAAATTTTTTCAATAATTTCATAAACAAAATGTGTAATATTTCTTGAAAGGTTTTCTTTAAGACTTATCATTAGTTACTTTTTTCATAAAATTTTAAAAAACGGAAAAATTTTTCTCTGCTATCATACAGTATTCATTTACACAGTTTTCCTGTGTTTTCCAATCGTGGAAATACCCTAAAAAATTAAATACCGAAATATTGATACTCAGTGATACAATCTAGTACACTAAAACTTGAAATTAGAGTCCCTTGAGCTCTTCTTACACAGGAAACAGATCTTAGTGTACGTAAGTCAAGAGGGGCAAACCAAACAAAAGATTAAAATTTTACACTTTTTCCATGATATTCAACACGTGAGAAAAACTGGAAACTCGATAATTTAAAAGAAAAAAAAAAAGAAAAAAAATTGATACTACGCGCGGCTACAAAAGAAAGCTGAATTTTTTCAGCGTTATTTGATTTCTCTTAACAAATACTCAGATGCTTCTGTGTATGAGTCAGAAATAGCAGTTCCTCGTTGAAAAATATGTAAATCTTAAATTACAAAATTAATGCACTTCAGAGACTTTAACGTACGGGTAAAAAAGAAAACAGAAATTTGTTCAGCGTTCTTCTAGGTTTCCTAATCAAATTGACGCACGTTTCAATGAGCAAGAAAACTGTAGTTCCTAGTAAAAAAATATTGTCCATTCAATAAAAAATTAATGTACTTGAGACTTTAACTCACGGGTAGAAAAGAAAGCGGACTTTGTTCAGCAGTGCCCTCCTAGTTTCCTTGCACAAATCGGCTCTACCGTGAATGCGAACCAGAAATAGTAGTTCCTGTAGTTCATACAATCGCCGTCTCTCAACAACGCTAGTACAATACTGCCGCTACAGAAAAACGCCGCGTAAACATTTGAATGTTGCTAAATTTCTCTCGACGCACTATACATCTTTGAGAAAAGTTATGAAATTTCACATGAAGATTCATATCCTTTCGTTTGAATTCAGTTCTGTGATATATCGATTTATCTCTCATTTAAACCTATGAAAAACTATCGATTAGCAGGGCATTCACAACGGACACCTTAATAATCGATTCTCTGCCATAGCTTCAATTCAATAGCTTGATTGAATTGCAAATAAAATTCTATGAAAAATTGGGGAAATTTATTCTCAAACTTTCCTGTAACTTTTGATTTAATAAAAGGAGATTCGACAGCATCGAAGGGTTCATACGGCGTTCTTACATAGCAAGGCAGTAAAATCTGTTGAATCCAGGCCCAATCATGAATTTGCAGGTGTCTGAAATTTCGAAAATATCATGTTTGAAATAAAATTATTAAGAGAACTGAGCACAGGGCTGACCTTAGTTTCTAAATGAAACAATTGTCAATCATTGAAGAAAATAAGACGAAATAAACTAATCTGCTAGAATACATGTGTTTTAATGGGTAATGCCACTAGATGACGTCACAAGACGTTGAATTTTCTCACTTTTAAATCTAATTTTCTGCAATTTCCCGATACAGAAAAAATTATGAAAAGTTTTTCAAACTCAGCTCATTGCGCACTCTCAGATGATGCAATACAACTTTGTGTCCAAATTCTATCTATTTCTAATTCTACTCTAATTCTATCATGCTCACAAAGTCGGTTGATTTTTTTAGAATGAAGAGCTCGCTGGCATGCGTGGTTCTGTGCAGTTTGGTGGCGGCGGTGTGCGCCTTCAAATCTGGAGCCCCGCAACGACAGTGCGAGGCAATGCGCCCCTACCACGAGGGCTCGGAGCCGCAGACGGGCAGAGCCCCCTACACAGTGTCATTCAGCAAGAGCAAGATCGCCCCAGGCGAAAGAATCTCTGTCAAGATCACAGGAGAAGGCAACGAAAAATTAAAGGGCTTTATGATCCAGGCTCGTGTAGGAGATACGCCCGTCGGGAAATTCTCTTCCTCCAATAGCATCAAATTGCTCGACTGCAGCGGAACTAGCGTAAGTATTAGTAAGTTAGGTTAGGTTAGGTTGGGTTGGGTTAGGTTAAGTTTGGTTGGGTTAGGTTACACTGGAAAAAAAACACATATTGGATCTCGAGTCTAGACTCTTAAAAACATCGACAAGACAAAATACTCTTGATTCAATCAGATGTAAGCGTAAATCAAGAACCAAGCCTCTTAATTTGAGCGGATTTCCTTTTGATTTAAGGTTAAATCTGATTGAATCAAGAGTCCTCTTTCTTGTCAATGTTTTCAAGAGTCTGGACTCTAGATCCAATGTGTTTTTTTTTTTTTTTTCCAGGGTAGGATGGGTTGGGTTGGGTTAGGTTGGGTTGGGTTGGGTTAGGTTAAGTTAAGTTGGGTTAGGTCAGGTTATACACAAGACACATTCCACTGGCCGACAGGTGAAATCTTTTACTTTCGGGGATTCAACATTTCCTTTTGGACAACTCTAAGGGAGTGCTAGTCATCTTACCTCCTGTAAGTGGATGATAAGCTTCGGTTGACGTTAGGAGCCAAACAAGTTTCCCAAACTTCGGTTTGTTTGCAAAACAAAACTGCCAACACGTTACCAACCATTGACCTAATAGGTAGGTCAACAGTTGAATGTTCAAGTCCCGAAAGTAAAAGATTCCACCATTGCCAAGATACCAGTGGAGGATTTCTTGTTGTCTCTGATTCCTTCCCTTGAATCAACGGGTCACTAAACTGTGGACGAATTTTGACTTGCGTATACATTTTTCTGGATGTAAATGAAGCGTCCTCAACACGATACGCAACTTAAAAACGCGAAAAAGTAATTCGGAAACCAAGAGATACGTAATTCAAAAGCGCAGCTTTCCCGCATACTCAAGAGGCCCCGTTTCGCGCCGAACCGAATGATGTCATCCGCCACCAATCGGAGGCGAGCAGGGGTTTCTACGACTTATATACAGCAATATAGTTTTCTGTGTAGTCACACAAAGAAGCAGAGTTCTGAGTGATTGTCGGGGGAACTTAGCATCAAAGTAAGGTGTCAGAGTTCAACCTTCAGTAGCTGATTCAGAGCTGTCAATGATTTAAAAAAAAAAAAAAAAAAAAAAAAAAAAAAAAAAAAAAAAACACTTTCTACATTAAAAAATATAGAGCGCAGGCAGGAACTAATTTCGGAAATTCTTCTCAATTTAGAAACGTAATGAGATTTTCTGACCTATGATGTAAACCGAGCGTTACGTAACTTTAATCGCGTCAACCGAGGTCAATGACGAATTTGGATTTGAGGAGGGTCATCATGCGCTAGTACATCAACTTCCGAAATACTTAGGGGCAAGGAATAGAGGCAACCCTCTCCCATAATTCTATTAATAATATCTAACCGACGTCATAAAATCAAGAATTCCTCATCAAGAACTCACAGTAATTTTGAATACACCTAACCGCTGAGTGATTCGGATCTTAGTTGGAATGACATGAATAAATAAGTAAACAGATACTTATGAAAAAGGAAACATACGTCAAAGAGAGGGAGGGGGCAAATTGAAGAAATAGATACATTTTAACTTTACGGTATGTTATGACAGCCAGACCTTTATCTACATCATCAAGCGAATCGACTAAATGAATCTACCTCACTCCAGCTTGTACTACTGCATCTCTATCTCGCGCCTTCATCTCAAATAATACCACCCGAAGCCTCACTATTTCTATTCATCTTATTACCTCGCTCGGTGACTGGCGGTGTTAATTATTTGCGTGTATCATTCCAATTATTGAGCTCGTCCTTCTCCCGATCACCAGAATGAGAGCAGTTTTAATCAAAAAATTTAAACTTTATTCTTCATAGCGATAATCGGACAGAATGTGAAATAGAATTTTCCTTTTGAGAAGTTTCCACTATTAGTTTTTGTTTCATATTCATTATCTTTTATTAAACAACTGGAACATAGGAAAATGTCACCTAGGACACTGAAAATGAAAAAAAGTAAAAATCAAGACCAAAGTTTGAACGCCTATATGATTATTGTTCATGGTCAATTAATTTTGTTATGTAAGATCCTCTTTGCCTTGCTTTTACGGATTTCTTAGAGATATTTGGTCCAGACTGTTTTACATATCCGAAGGCCTACTAATCCAGCAGAATATGAATTTTTGAGTGGATGCTCACTTTTTTCATGAATTTTTTTCGTCTCCGATGAGAGGAAGAAAGACTTTTTTTTACGAACGAACCGTTAAAAAGAACGAAAGGATGAGAAGGAGTTGTAAGTAGAAAACTTGAGGAAAAGGAAGGGGGCAAAGAAAATAAATTTAAAACTGAGCAAACTTAATGGGAATTTGTCCTCAAACAGAGGAATTTTGTCAAAAAAATGACATCCCAATTCCCCCCGTGCGAGTACAATCTGTGATTGAATGGAACAAACTATAGGTATGTGCGCAGCAGACCAGCGATATTGAAATGTATTTTATTGTGCGGATCCACTTGATCAATGCTCACTCGTAACATAATAGGCAAGACATTAATTAGTTATTAGACTAATGTCCCTTCCTTCACACTATTTTGAGGCAACGCCCGATTTTTAGAATGCGACAGAAGATCAGTTGCCCTCGGCTGATCACTGGAAGTAAATGCAAAATTCAAGAGAGCGAATCCTCTGTCGCGCCCTGAAAGTACGTAATATCACTTAATATTGACCGTTTCCCTTCCATTGCAAAACTCAAGATTTCAAATTTTCAAAATGATGGTTTTTCATTTGACCTTTCAACTGTGAGATCATGTTAAAATATCGTTTCAAAAATAGAAAAATGTAAAGTTTAAAATGTAGACGAACGAATGCGTATGAAAGTAAACTCTTAGGCGAATTCAGTTCCACAATTCAAAAAAAAAAAAAAAAAAAGAAATAAAAAACTATGCTGAAAGTCCCTATATTACTTGCATTCAAACAATGTTAATAAAATATGTAATCATTACATTCTTTGTGTTGCAGAACACCGCTACTCACACGAGTAACACACCCAGATCTCGAGTTAACCTCTTCTGGACTGCACCTAAGGATCTCACCGAAACTGTTACATTTAAGTAAGTATGATCACGATCAACCGTTTCAAATTACGGAAAAATCCGGTAAATGTTTTCCTTTGGAAGTGACTGAGGCCTACGATAAGAGGGAACCGTATACTATGTCAAACATTCTGTGACTCTCGTTTTTCATCTCATCAGTAAGAACACTTTCTGGATTTCGGAATGATAGGAGCATGTTTTCCAGTTACAGGACATTTCGTCAACGATTTTTTGTCCGCGCGCCTGTTTTTTCCAGTAATTTACGTCCACGCGTTTTTTCGGCACGGGAGTTTTGGTTCACGTGCCAGTTGAGACCCAAAGTTAATTGGCCCACATGTAAATACTAACGACAATTGCTCACGACGTTTTTGGATGAAAATGTATAATGTCTTGGAAGAATGAGGGTTTGCTTGATTTTTTGTTTTGTCTGTTTGGTCCAACGGAGAATAATATATAGTTGAGAGTTTTGGTAAAAATGGGGGAGCGTCAATTCCATGAGACAAAATTCACTAAAACTCTCTACACCTCTTTGGTGTAACGGGACTTAATTATCTTTCAAGATATTCCCACCTTGTTATACCTGAACCGGATAAACCTCTATATTTCCCTCAGCTAAAGGCTCTTAGATTTTTCTTGTGTACGATTAGTACCTTGATTTATTTTGCGAGGAAAGATCTGTACTTTGAAAGGATGCCTGTCATTCTTAATACGTTCAATTTCGTATAATTTCAGACGCCGCCGCACGGCCAGCGCTAAACGTGCATTGGCGCCTACAAACCTAAGTGGATACTTCAAGCATTGTGCAATGCGATGAGTATCCACTTAGGTTTGTAGGCGCTAGTGAGCCTCTCACGCTGGCAGCGTGGCAGCACGCCGCGCGCCGCTCCGCTCTGTTAGACTTTAATATTTATACTCGCATAGTCAGCGTGTTATAACTCATGATTTTGAAATGTTTGCACACTCTGCATTGGTTATCCTCATTTAAATTGATGGGAAAAATACGTATCAGTTTATCAAAGGAGAATAATAACATAATGTGTGTTTTTTTAAATATTGGTGGCTCCGTGTCAAATTTAATAAAATCCAAAGCACTTTAATGTTTCGTTATGCATTTGTGCTATTATTGTGCTGCAGCGAGGTGTCCTACGCCCAACCAAACGCTCAAAATTTGACGTATTTGACTCCAAAAGATCGATGTACAAATTGGTTAAAACTAAAGATTGTGTACTTCTTGGTTTTTTCCCCCTCTTTTATTCATTTTTGCAGTTTCTGTCGGCACAACTGCGGCTCATTGAGATTTATGTCGCTTGGAAAAGGTTTTACAAATATTTGTCACGTTTTAAAAATATAAATGTTTTCAAAATTAAGTAATAATTTCGTAAAGAAAAAATTAAAAAAATAAAAAAAAAGTACCAATACATATATAAGGTATATTGCACATCGAATATTTTAAGGATAGAAATGAAACCAAATATTCACCAATGACAATTTAAAGAGATGAGTCAAAAGGAGAAAGTAATAAAATTTCATCTAGAAAATGAGCAACCATAACAACACCTTCTCTCTCAATTTCTCATTTCCAAATTGTCAATATAATTTTACATACCGACTAAAATATAACGCTTGGACCAAGTCACTGGTGCTTATTTTACGTGCGGGCGTAAACTACTGGACAAAAAAGGTGCGCGGACAAAAAATCGTTGACAAAATGTCCTGAAACCTTTTTTCCTTATGGATTTACGTACGCGTCATTCACAGTTTAGTTGGATTTCGTAACAGTATCAGAGTCAGCTATTTCGCACTGTGCTCACTGAACAAACATCGTGCATGAAAAGATATGCTGATACGTGTTTGATTCAAATATAATTTTTAGATTCTTACCTAATGAAGTACAAACAACCCTCTGACTCTCTATCATCCGCCGTGAAAAAACATATCTCACCGGTGACTTGTAAAAACGCGCTGCGCTGCGTAAATCTTGTTATGGGCAAGAAAAACTAGAACGCATTCACTCATTTTAATATGCAACTTGCACACCCCAAGAGCACGAATAGTTGTATTCTTGTATTAGGTAGGTACATTAAGCGAGAAAGTTTTGATTCAAAATCACTATCAGGCGAAACATATTCCTAAGAAACTGATCATATTACGCAAAAGAGTAAGACAAGTAAATGACGATGATAAAACTTTTTTTTTTAAAAAAAAAAAAAAACTAAATAAGTATATAATGTAGCTATGCGATGACAACGCGATACGTTCTCGGTAAATCCAATGTTAAGTTATTTTTGCATAATGAAATCGATCAATCAAATTGAGTTGAATGCTCATAAAATTAAAACAAGCATCATCTTATTTTTGATTCTTGTATTGAGGGAAAACTAAATACAAGTCCATCTTTCATCCCGCATCTTTCCCTGCTTTCCACAAAATCAACTTGTTTTTCATAGATGACGCAGGTTCAACGAGGATTGGCCATTACCAATTGGTATTAAAGCTTCTCCAAAAATTTCAATCCCTTGCTTATAGATGGTGTGTCATTTCCATAACTTGAACATTCAAATGTAAAGTGAGAGGTCGTCCAAGGCCATGAAGGTGCAGCCTTCTTTGAGCTCAAAACAAGCTTTGATTTGAACAAAAATATGATCATTCATCTGATACATATATATTTTGTGGAGGCACTCGCCTACCTACTCAGCACAAAAAAAGGAAAGATGGCATAAGGAGGGCGGGAGAAGGGGAGAGATTTTGATTCAGAGGGATCGACATATTGACTCGACATGAGCCATAATCGTAAATTCTTGAATTTAGGTTCGGTGCGTAAATTGGTCACGGATTAGGCCATATTGGCATCTACAGGTGGCATTAATGATTTAAGCTATCTCGTGGCTTTGAGTAAAATTAAAGGTCATTTGCTTGACCCTGCGTTTGAAAAATCTCAAATCCTCACTTCTCCTTCCACAAATTTATCGGATTTTACTCTTTTCGATTTTTGTGATAGACTTTAGTCAGGGAATGATGCGAAGTGGAACTCAAAACAATGATTGATCTTCCCTGCGGACGCTTATTGAAGCACTAATGCTTACTTCTAGGATGTAGGATTTTCTTTAATGAATTCATTTCATTTAACGGGCCTTTTCATGGAAAATATGTATTTAACTTTGATAAACTGTTTACTCATTTTAATTGATTTGATTTGCTTTTTACGCCAAGAGAGTGGTCTATGGAGTCTAATCCATGTTTGCATTTTGGTTTAATTGCAGGTATACGATCGTGAAAGACTACGTTACATACTGGGTAGCGCTGGATTCGCCAAAACTGACTATCGCTTAAGTTGATGCCTAGATCTTAATTATTTATTTAAGTTACCATTTACGAAAAATTACCGGTTTTTCCGTGCATAACACTGCCAATTGACAGTTCACATACTAATGTTTATGATTGCTTAGAGATGAAATCAAAAAGTGACACTACCGATAAGTGATCGCTACTGTTCAATAATGTGCCACCAGTTATGCCATTTACTTGTGTTGTAGGAAAAAATTAATAAATTTTTATGTTTTTGTAAGTTTCTTATTATTATTTTTTGCTGCTCATTACAGAATTGTTATTTTTTCTACAAGATTATGATCAATTCAATCGTGATCATTGATTACTCATGACCAGCGGGCCGATTATTGAAACTTAAACCAGCCCGATAAGACATCGAATTGCGATATATTGCATGGTCGAGATAGGGCTATGCATGCCTTGTCGTGTCGGGCTGACATAGTTTCAATAATCGGGCCGCAGACAGCTTGTCTAGTATGGTCATGTCAAGAGAATGATGGAAGAAATAGGCTGCCGAAGAAGATGCTTGATTGGGTTCGCCCGAAACGACGAGACGAATTAATAAGGGGACGCCCAATGGAGATGTTGCTTGTGTGAGGAATTTGCGATTTGACTTTGGATTCTTAAGTAAAAGTTCGCGAGAAACACGATGGTGCCACTGGTGTTCTCTGAAATCAACTCTCAAGCTCAAAAAAAGCTCTTAAGTTAAGGCCAAAATGGAGGAGATATCCCACGCTATCCTGAGAGTCCACGTCTACATATCAAGACAAACTCTCCATGCAAAGATAGGGAGCAAATACATTAGCAGTGATGCCGTGTTTTCAGTTTTAGAGTCTCCAAATAAAGTGGCAACCATGTATTTGCTCCCTATCTCTGCAGGGAGAGTTTGTCTTGATGTAGATGTGGACTCTCAGGATAGCGTGTGATATCTCCTCCATTTTGGCCTCATCTTAAGAGCTTTTTTTGAGCTTGGGAGTTGATTTCAGAGAAAACCAGGGGAACCATCGTATTTCTCGCGAACTTTTACAAATGAATCAACAGTCAAATCGCAAATTCCTCACACATGCAACGTCTCCATTGAAGGGTGACGACAGGGGGTTTAGAAGAAATGAGGGAGGGCCAACTCCCTGGGGCCCCTCTTGTTTTAATTTATTGCAATAAAATTATAAAAGTCGCAACATGTTCTGGATCCCAAATTGCCTACATTTCCCCCGCATGATGCTCAAAAATCATGACCGCTTAAAATCGGTACTAACTGATCCAGTGGTGTAAAAATATTGCAATTCCGTAGTAAAAAAGTTTTTAATTTATTACATCAAATTGTAAAACTTATTCAGATATTTTTGTTGCATTGTGCTACTTGGTGATATGTAGATGATTTTTACAGAAATTATTATTTTTATTATTTTATTAATAGTAATGTTGATTATACTGCCGCTATAATGTAGTTAGTTTGATCCAGAGTAAATCATTCCGATCCTTACGATTCATCGATAAAAATAAGACAATAATTGGACCGCGCTAAGCAGAAAGGAACCAAGCCACATCAGCTATTGCCAAATTTAATTGAACAGTATTATTTTATTAATAGTAATGTTGATTATACTGCCGCTATAATGTAGTTAGTTTGATCCAGAGTAAATCATTCCGATCCTTACGATTCATCGATAAAAATAAGACAATAATTGGACCGCGCTAAGCAGAAAGGAACCAAGCCACATCAGCTATTGCCAAATTTAATTGAACAGTTTGATTTCTTACAAGAGAACGTTTGTGCGGATTTCTCTGAAAATTTTGAGGAATTTGCTTCGTACTCTGCAGAAAATCACTGGCACATAAATCCGCACAACTGTCTCCATGTAAAAAATTAAATTGCCCGGTCAAAATTGGCAATAACTGATGTGGCTTGGTTCCTTTCTGCTTAACGCGCACTGGAAAAAAACACATTTGGATCTAGAGTCCGGACTCTTAAAAACATCGGCAAGAAAAAATACTCTTGATTCAATCGGATTTTTGCTTCGATCAAGAACCAAGCCTGAGAAATTTGAGCGGATTTCCTTTTGATTTAAGCTTAAATCTGATTGAATCAAGAGTTTTTTTTCTTGTCAATGTTTTCAAGAGTCTGGACTCTAGATCCAATGTGTTTTTTTCTCAGTGCGGCTCAATTGGATTGCATTTTGCAAAAAGGAACCACTCGCGTTGCAATGATGCTAAGATTGTGCAACTTCATCTTTTGCAATAAAATTGCGGAAATCGTGAAAAACTATGAAATTTAGATGGTAATTTTTGTCTTAAATTTACAGTTTTTAGCGAGTAAAATAGAAACTATTAATGGATAATCGGGTTTTTCCTCCAAGAAAAAAGAAGTTGCACAATCTTAGCAACATTGGTTCCTTTTTGCAAAATGCAATCCAATTACAGCACAACATCTGACCCCATTCTGCCGCTTTCCGAGCGAATTTAGGCAACTGCAAAATGCAGCAGGAATGAGGGGTTTCCGCGAGTCCAATTGGCTATTGGATTTTCGCTTTCTGCTACACTTAATTGGGTTGGACGGCGGTGCGTCAAATGAGGATGACAGGGGATCTGCCGGGGGCCCCCACCAATCAGGGCACCGGATCGAGAGTGCACCGGGGGCAAGGCGCTTCCCGATTTGTGCGGATGAAGCCAGTAAGGTTAGGAGCAGTCGCAGCGACCGACATCTCACTCTGACATCTTCGCAATATTCACCTCCGACCCGTGCGACCTATCCGCGTCCACCTTGACTCCGACCAGTCAACACTCAACCTCCACAGCTTTGCCGCGCGCTCATCCAAATACAGTAAGTCACCAAGTCTAGCGCCCTGTTATTTGCTACGGTATTATAACCCCATTAATTTTTAATACCTATGATATCGGGTTCACGTTTTGCTTATTTATTTTACAACCGTCTGCAGCGAAAACGCCGTATCTCTGTTCCAGATTTAGCGCATTTTTCTCGGAAAAAAATTTTTCACTGCAAAAGAAGTTCCGAGCATCTGTCCTTTGCGTTTTCAGATCAGAACAGTTAAAGATTAAAATTATTTAAAAACTTCATAAAATATCTAACTGAATAACAAATTAGACTGCATTAACTTTTGATGGACAGTTTGGCCACCTCAAGTCTGCGAGGTGTGGATACTGAATGCTAAACACTGTCCAAATAAGGACATAAAATTGCACGCAAAAACCAAAAGACGCGCGCTTTCGGATCCGATTCAAAGAAATCTCCTCATGCATTAAGTTAGCCTCTCTGCATGACCTTTGCTCCATAAAGTTTAAATCTTAGTTGGCATCAAGGTAGCTAATTACGCTAAGCACTAAAAAAAGGTATATTGGCCCCCGTTTCCCCCTCTTTTCCCTACTTCGTCCCTCGAATGAAAGAATAAATAAATCGAATATTTTATACTTCTAATGATTTTATCGTAGAAGATTCCCCTCAGAACTAAAATTTGTCATTTTCCCCATTTGGACGAACAAGTGACGTCGATATGAACACTATTTGAGGGAAACAGTAAGCTCATAAAGTTTCTGGAATGAGGAAAAGCGCGAACAATGCTTCAATCATCTCTCCCGTTTAATTACTTAAAAATTAATTGAGGTAGTCTAATATGCAACGAGAGAATATGTGAAAAATCTTGTTAAAGCACCTCCAAGAATTTTTAAGTGACCTCGAAGTTTCATAGGTATGTTTCTCAGGGGAAAACGAAGGTAGCCATGGCGCGATCGGAAACTCGTTCACTCGTATTTTTTTTGAGAGTGTGTGCTCTACGGCACGCTAGAGGTATGTTACATCTAAATATTCAGTTCTCGAGGCCCATGAACTGAAACTTCAAGTTTCGAATCCTGCATGCGAGGGCTATTGGACATTTTGCAATTTGTAACTACAATATCTGGCTCAGTTTAGAAACGAAGTATGTACCTTAATTTTTTTTTACCATGAGTATTTTTACGGAAAAGCCAGATATTGTAGTTCCTATAACTGCAAAATACAGTCCAATTATTCAGACATCTCGCAGTCCAGCCGCTGATATTAAAATCCTCACATGCTCACGGATTTTCATTCAAAACACTACGTAATCGGCGCCTAGCGAGGTTATCCCGAAAATTTAATATGAAAAATTTACACGCCATTGTCCATCCAAAATTCATTACACAACGTCAATTTAAGGGAGGTTAGTATGGACCGTGACATAATTTACTAGGAGGTGCAGACCTGCATGACGGGTGCGTTACATGGAAGGGGGGGGGGGGGAAAACCC